GTAATCTATAGGTACTTATAATAAATCTGTAGAGAGGTCAATTCTGTACACGAAATATATTTTCAAAGTAACTATCAGGGGGTGATATATGTAACGTGTGACTACGCCTGTTACGAAAATTAAAATTGTCTCTATCTGTAGCGGAGAATAGTGTTGTGGCAGGCCTTTGTTCAAACGAGCATTGCAAACGTTGTGATAGGGATAGAGACATGCGATTTTTGGTTTTACAAAGGTAATACGATAGAGAATAATACAAAGTAATAAAAACCGCCGGTTATAGGGGCATTTTTTGGAGAAATTTATCAAATAACCAAAAAAAACTCGAATTTAAAAGCAGATTTTTTTTAAAAAGTATCATTTTTTATTATTTGTTGGCCTTTTTTTGTGTATTTTATGTATTTTTTTTAGTATCGCCTGTTATTTAGCATTATTACTGTGTTTATTTTATCAGGATATACCGCTTAGTTTAAAAGTTATTACCTACGTTTTCTTTACAATAAATAATTGGAAGAAAAAAAATTCTATAAAAAATTTAAGAAAAAATCGCAAAAAATTTTTACCTCTTTTTTGTCGACAAAAATAGGTCAAGTTTCATCTATTTTCATATGTGCACTTTAACGTGACTCACACTGTATACCATGGACATTAGCAAAAACAAAACAAAACTATGTGTAAAATAGGATTGAAAAAAAACTGGTCCAAATTACCGGACTCTCCCTTAACTGTAAACGATGGTTGTGGACTATGAGGGAGCAGGGCAGGGCTACTATTGAATGAAACTCACAATAACACTTCACTAAACTTTATTTATATTGCACAAAAGAGCACTTTTCCCGTCAAGTAAAATCGAAACACTGCCATATCCATAACAATATCAAACAAAAACAATAGAATATTCAAACATTCTAAACATAAATACAAAAATAGAAAAGTAAAAAATAATAAAAAATAAATAAATCTAAAAGAGGTCTGTCGCCAAGAATAACCTTGTCTACTGAAATTGTTAATCAGTTGATCTGCTCTTTTCGCTTTCTATGTCACACGCATGGGATTCCAAAATTGCATACGTGTAGACATTTCTATTCTACCTAACAAATAAAGCAAGTGCCTAGAGTTCTATAGAGGTATCCGATCTAGTAAATGTCGTGGCAAATACATTTCATTTTGGTGCCTTTTTCAAATAAATCCTAGGCATCTAGACAATCTAGTTACGAGTTCACGACCTAGAGCGCTATACTGCTCTGAGCGTCTACGAGCTCGTATACATCATACATTAAGCTGGATCTCCACTAGAGGCTGCCTCGGGTCGACCAGCCGCCTCGACCCGCGGTTGCTCAAATGGAGACGCAGCCTCAACCTGAGGCTCGACTACGAAAGTTGCGAGGCAAATTTCGTCGCCGCGGACCGAGCCACATTTTGTCGCTCGGACGAGGCAGCCTCACAGCCCGAGGCTGTCTCTAGTGGATATGTGGCTTTATATTCCGAGACGGTGATCCAGGTCGTGACACATCGATTCGTATTTGATTCGGTCCACTTCTGTTTTTACGCCTAAATAGGTCAGTAAACGGTTTGGCGAGATGGTTTTTGAATAGTGATATAGATAAAGTGGTAATATCTTGCTATGTGGTGAATACATTCGTCATAGCTCTCGTAGCAGTAGATATCACATGGTTTCAGAGTCTCTACATGAGGCTCATTTTCTTAATTTAGTAATTCAGGATCTCTCAACGGGATTAGTTTTCTTCGTAGTATAATACCCGGTATGCAACCTCAAGATAGGTATACCTTGATATCTCTCGTCTTGAAGGAATTTACGAATTACTGGAAGGACAAAACAAAAATCTGAATACTGTCAATTGTGCTGAGAGTCTAAGAAACAAAAGAAAAAGAGAGCTGGAAAAAACATCCCTTATAAGAAAATATTACTGAGATTATTCATGTAAACAAACAGGTAAAGCAAATTGCCTACTCGTACATTATTTCTTACATGATGTACCTACCAAAGTTTATAATTAAGGACAAGGTGTACATTCCCTCGAGACTCCTAAATTTAATTACTTTAAGTCTAGCTTTATTATGTCTAAACAAATTACTAGAAAGTTGACTAGATCCTAGGTATTTTGTTATTATGTAGGTAGGTATGTTGTGTACTTATCAATAATCTTACATACTATGACCAACTTTTAAGTACTGTCCTGTTGTCTGTATTTGGGTAATCAAAACTTTATTTTTAGGTCAGAACTTCGATAGAACTGAAATGCTCATATAATTATATCGATCTTATAATGCCTTCGGTCGAATGAAAGGTCCCTAAGAGAATCAACCATTAATTGAGTTAATCATAGTTGGAGAGTAATTTAAACACACCACAATCGTAAATCATCGTCACATAACTTAAATTACATGCTTTGAGTTGTTTGAATTCCATCGTGCTTTATTAGCTTTAACTACATTACATATTCACATACATAAATAATTTTGTAGTCTCTTTGAGTAAGGGCTCTCAAATCCCAGCTAAAGGCCCACCGCAACATACAATATACATGGCGGCAAGTGAGCCAGAAATACAAATATACATTGTTACAAGTAGAGGCATTTCACAGCAGCCTAGGGGCGGCCTACCGCCCTCCCAAGGTCGCTCTTCGATCTACATCATTTGGAAACGATCCAATATTATTTCCTATATTTTTCAGGTCTTAATATTACTCAGTTACATAACGTTTTATGGTGAAAGTACGAGTCCCTTCGTAGGAATGTTTATAAATTATAGGTATAATAAATCAAGTTGTTTGTTAACGCCTTTGGACAGGGTAAATTGAATTACTTTGAACNATTTGAACATTAGCTTAGCTAGTGCTCTTAGCTACTACTCTTTTCATAATTATAAGTATTTATAAATATTCCCATACTAGCTTTTGCCCGCGGCTTCACCCGCGTGAAATTTAGTTTGTCACATATTGTCATAAATTATAGCCTGTATGTTATCCTGGGTTATAAACAATAATACTGTAAAGTTTCATCAAAATCCGTTCAGTAGTTTTTGCATGAAAGAGTAACAAACATCCAGACATCCAGACATCCTGACATCTGACATTCAAACTTTCGCATTTATAATATTATTAGTAGGATGACCTAACCAAGGGCTTCAAATTAGATATGAATAGAGATTTTATAATCAAGCTTGCTCTACACCGCATGAATTTCCGAATGAGATTATAGACAATTCTAAAAAACATAAATTGACTTTTTATTAGTTTTTATGCGAGACCACGCAAACCCACGCAAACCCAATTCCTGCGCAGCCAGCCTTTTTATTTCAGGTTCAAGCTTATATTTTCAAGTAAAAGGACTTACTTACCTACATCAATGTCAAAATGACCTAATTTACTTTAAAACCAACAGAATACTGACTGTAGGTACTATGAGATTTCTATGTAATTCTCCATATCAATTCAAATCTTGAAAAATATAAATTACTATTGCAAGGTCTGTAACTTCGACATAGCAAGGGTTTATGACTTGATCGCCAATAAACCCCCTCCAGCGAAGATTAGGTAGTCCCGGGAGAAAGCAAACTATGTGGTCCCATGAGGAATTCGAATCGATGATAGCGCAGTGTAATTAACTGAGAGAGAAATTTCCTCGAATTCTCATACCTATCCCACAACTTATCCATAATTATTATTATGTAAAGAGCTTGGGGGAGGCCTTTGTCCAGCAATGGACAAGATTTGGCTGAGACGGACGAAAGAGCACTAGATGTTTTAGGTGGATTGGGCACTTGATGGTTCTCTAACCAAAAAGATTTTTCGCACAAATGATAGCTGAAACCTAACCGCCTCTGTGGTCTAGTGGTAAGACAACCTGCTTCAGAGGCAGAGGTCCTGGGTTCGATTCCCAGTGGGGGCAGATTTTTCTGTTCGGTTTTTTTGGTGGTAGGGCTTGTTCTAAGTTCCCCTGGCTAGCTACCACCATCTTACCTAAGTCTGTCGCCATAACAACAATTTTAACAGCATTGTTGTGTTCCGGCAGTTAGAAGTAAGATAGCCAGTTCCTCCGTGGTTGAGTATTCCTGGTGAAGCTCGCTTCCACCTTCGGCCTGATCGTCACTTACCATCAGGTGAGATACAGGCCAAGAGCTTCCTTGTTGTGAATAAAAAAAACCGGCAGTAGATAACATTGCTAAATAAACGAGGCCTTCCCTATACGAAGTATCATAAATAACCATTGTACCAGGGAATGCAATTCTTTAGAACATTTCTTCCCATAGTAATTCACCCAGCTCGTTCAATATCAACTCCCTTGGAAAGGCGTCAAGTCTTTCGATATTTAATAGCTGCGGATTAATCTAAATATAACGCTATCGCTTCTATCAACCGCCTTCTGCGTGGGCGCCAAATGACACGGGCGGGGGTTAGCGAGCGTTCTGACGCTTATTTCTGAAGAAATAGCCACGTTTTGTATCAAAGAAACACAAACAAGACGCACTGAAGCGTTCACACAATTTTCATAATTTACCATTAATTACAAAAACAACTACAGGTTCAAATTATTTACCGAGCTTCAAGTTTATCTTACTTTTGTTTATTAAACTAAAAACTAATATTTTTTAATGTCCAACTCCTAAAACAATACTGAATTTTAATAAAGTTTCTAATCAAAAACAAAAACTAAACAGTTAAGCTCACTCCCACGCGTGCCCTCATTATCAGAGTGATTTCGAAAGTACATAATTCTTTATTATTAAATACAATGCTGTGTAGCCGTATAACATGAAACTAAGATCGTTAGTCTCGCGTACCAAATAAAGCGTTTTAATCGACTTTGCTGCTGTACATTTTGAGCTTGTGCGACGCCCATTCAAAGCTGACATTATAAGCGACTCTTCAATGTACGCAATGGTGACGTAAACGTCGTGACTTGGCCAGGAACTCGAACGTAGAGCATCGCATCGCGCAGCAGTAATCGATCGGCTGCGCGCGCAACCCCCGTCCTGCCTTCAGTGCCGAGCGGAGGCCTCGCTCGAATACAATATTTCACAGAAATGTTCCCAACCCGTGTTAAGTGACTGCCAGAATAGGAATTGACAGGCCATCCCGACTTCCAGAAGCTGCTCGATAGGGGGATCAAAATAAAGGTCAGTTGAAACAGCTACTTTACCCGAAGCTCCCACTTCACAGCCATTACGGTTGGCAATTTTCTCCTAGAAGTGAACAGTTTTATGCAAATCTCCGTGATACAACGCAAAAAGCTAAATTCCTTTATAGTTCCGATAATAGTAAGCGGCTTTGGGTAACCTAGTTTATGCAATTAAAATAAACAAGAAAAGATATCGCTTCTTAGTGAACCGGGAAGATCCGCATTCAATGGAAACCATTCCAATAGGGATCGATCCTTTGAACCATAGTGTATTGTAAAGCTAATGAACTCGCCAATTCGAAAAATTAGTGGCTTTATCAAAGTAGCATTCGTTAAAAGATTGAATTCGATAAAGTTGCATACATCTCCTGTTTTGTATGAACGCAGCGAAGCGATCAACATTCTTGGACCGCAATCAAATGCAGTCACAAGTTTTTTAATATAATTTTAAGTTTAGTTTAACTACCTGTTAGTACCTACCTACCGGTGGCTCTTCAAGATGGAATTAGTCAAGTGAACTCAAGCGTGAGATCTAACTAGACGTCTTAGACGAGACGAGAGTTAGAATTAGATACAAGTTGGTTTTAAAATGTTATTACTGACATGCTACGAGTAGACTAACTTTTTCGTTTAACAGTGATTTTAAATCATAAAATCATTTAAACATACATAGTAAGTATTTATTAAATAACAAACAAAATCATTTTCAAATCAAAAGAAATGTCTCTCATAATCCTATTTTATTGTTCAACTTTAACAAGAGCCAAACATTAAAATGGGTAGGTATAATATTAATATATTTTGACGATCGTAACCGTACATTTTTTCATCATAAAAATAAGGCTCCGTCTCATAAAGCTGTAGGTGTATTAAGTACATCCACACATTTCAGATTATAAAGAAGAAAGAAAAGAGAGTAAAAGTTATAATAATCGCGCAGTCAACGTCTTCCAGACTTTGTCACGTCCGAGTTTTATTGGGTTTATTTGTGCCTCACTTAGGGGAAAGGCTCTATAAGCCTACGCGTTAGCCCTATTATAATAACGCTCAAAAACTTACTGACATGCGATATAGCAAATTCATAATTGGGGACGTGACTCCGTTGACAATATCCATAAAAATAATAGGTTAGGTACAGTTGACAGCATCAGACTGCCACTGTATTTACGAGTAGCTTAATGTGTTGTCGTCTGTACCTATAATACGGTTCATACAAAAGCTTCGTCAATTGTTATATTCAGTCAGTTAACGTTAAGAAAGTCAAGGTATTTTTATTAAATCTTCCCTGAAGCTCCGGCTTCCTGCTTTTGATCAACTCAATGACTTCCTTTATGATTGTCAGCCCATCCTCAAACATTTTTCGCATTCAGGCTCTCCTAATTGGATCATAATATCTTCCTTGATAGATTTGAATCACTGAATATGAATATAGAAATAAAAAGCAGCTTTTTTCCAGAGAGAAATCTGAGAGGTGAGAGCATGTTTTTTCGGTTTACATCTAATGAAAGCTAGAAAGAAAATTCAAAATTATATAATATTTTAAAAGGCCATCGTTTTAATAATAAGCTTAAGTTAACATTCTCTCGAGTTTTATGGTTCAATGGCCTCAAAAGAAAAAGGATCTGAAGTAGACGCTATCTGAAAATTTTCAGGTCAAGTGTTTCACAGACTTGTCAAGAAACTCACGACAGAGGGCGCCTTTAAAGACTCACATGTTTGATAGGGAATATTTATCTTGGTCATACAAAGCACGATTATAAAGCCAGGCAGCTATCATGTGTTGCTCAGGAAATCTATTTTAACTATATTGAAATAAAAAGATAAAATAGCAAAACCCCCAAATTTGATCCGGCCCTGTGACGGACTTTCAAACTTATCTCTATATCTTTTCATATAATTTATCTTATCTACGTTTTATCATTTGCTAAGTATATTATTTCATTTGCATACTTTATTATTTTGATAATACCGGGTTAATTAATTTTCGAATGCTCCTGTATCCTGAATTGTTCTCTATAAGGTTGCCAAAATCTTTAAAATATTTTCTGTCCATGAAGTTATTGAATCAAACTATACAGGGTGTTAGGTAAATGGGTATATGAGCCGACACTAGCCCATGTTAACATGGTCATATAAATGGTATGGTGAAGTCAGAAAATTGATATCTTCATTTTAATTATTTTAATTTTCATACAAATCGGATTTTATAAAAAAATATTTAGTATGAAAATTAAAAAAATTAAAATGATAATATCGAATTACTGACTTCACCATACCATTTATATGACCGTGTTAACATGGGTTAGTGTCGGCTCATATACCCATTTACCTAACACCCTGTATAGTACATAGGTTTGTGAATGATTAAGTTAAGTGTCTTTTTAAACAACTTTAATATTTTTTTAAATCACTTGATTTTCGAACAAGCTTTACGAAATTCATCATCAAACTTCAAAGTCTACTAAGAGCTTTTCTACGACGACTACGAGTTCGCGTCGTAGCAGTGGAAGCTTTTGTACTACATTCACAGCTTACTATTCATAAATAGATATAATTTGAAAAGTTTGGTTTCACATTAAGAATAATAAATAATAGTGCAGTTTAGACGTCCATGATGAGATTCACAGCTATGTTAATAATGTAGAAAATGAAGTCTGGTTGGTCCCCAAAATGGCATGAACGATGCAGCGATTGTAAATTATATGCCAAGTAGGGCACGCACTGGTTTTCTTACAAAGTAACGAGAATTTTTTGGCATACTTAACTATGACCGTTAAAACTTCCCGGCTTATGATCGACGCCACTGGCAACTCTACTAGTTACTAAACTGTATGTATGTATTGTACCCATTTGCCCTATTATAGTCACCTCGTTGTGATCTGAGTGTCTGGGACGTATTATCATTACTTTTCATCCCTCATTTAATGCGTGGTAGGTACGCATCCAATTCGGGACTGGTAACCCTACACGGATAATAAGTAGGCATATCTAGACTTTCGACACCTACACACCAAACACGTTTGGTAAACAGAACCCATTTTCATAAAAATTCAAAACATTGTTATGACACCGTCTTAGCTAATAAGTTTGGAAACCCCCTTTATCATCTACTCACGGCGTGTGACTGAGGGGGGGACGTAAGATCATGTGAGATACTTGAATGGCTCTTGTGCTGCAACGAGTGCCTGCCCGAGGGAAGACTTGTCTAGAGCCACGGGGAATGGGATTAGGGTAGCACGAATGAAGGAGTGTTACTTAAATGCCTACTTTTTTATTACATTAATACGAAAAAGAAGCTAACAGTAATTTAATTAAATCCGTGTAAATTGGGCTGCCAGTGTCACTTTCCGAAGTGATCTACAGAATATTATAAAGAAGAATGTTTGCAGGAATGTCGCCGCTACTAGGAGCGCTGCTGCGATGGCGCCGCGAAGCGGCGGAAGAGGCGCAGGAGTCCACCCCGCCCGCCAGCTCCGAAAACACTCGCGAAGGTAACACTATTCTACCTCTTGTTTTCAATGCAAATATAATTAGTAATCATAGTGGTTTCACGAATACAAAATCAAAGACATGTATAACGAGAGCCAAGGGTCTAAGGAAAATGAACGTTCAATGTAAAGATCCAGGTACCATAACTATCTACTTGAATAGTAAGTAATACCTTAGCCTTTACTTTCACAAAGCTTGAATTCTAAGCCCGCATTTGAAGTTATTTAGATATGAAGTTTCCAAATAGTCTTCTGTGCGCTTACCATGAGTTTACGTTAGGTGTGCTCGCTAGCGACTGCGTAAAAAAATGACATTAATTGTATGACATATTGTGCAGCGCTCCTAGTGGCTACTTTCAAGAAACAAAATCTTCATAGAGATTTTTGACGTACTCGCTAGCGAGCACACCTAACATAAACTCATGGTAGGTACACTGATTCATTCAAATGGAACTTCCAATCTTTTAGCTAACTAAATATCATAAACCAGCTTGAACTTGCCTAGCTATAAGTTTAAAGCGGAGCTAGGTTATAAATTAGTTTTAGAACAATTTTATTTGCGTCATGAACAAATCTGGCTCTAGATATAAAATGAGATAATTTAGGCAACATTGTGATCGATCTTAATAATAGTAAGTGTATCGTTATTGTCGACCTTTACATTCTAATACTGAATATTCATTATTTTTGAATAGCGGAGATGACGACCCCGGCCGGCTCAACGGCGCCGCCGCCGACGCAGGAGTCGATCGGCGAGCTGGCGACGGAGCTGGCACAGAAGATGAACATGGAGACGTGGCAGCTGGTCGCCATCTTAGTCGGTAAGTTTTTCAAGTCCACAGCTAGGTAGCTCTTGATCAGCATCTGACATCTCACCTGACGAAAAGTGATATTTAGGACGTAGGTGGAAGGTTCACCCGGAATCCTCAACTACGGAGGAATTGGTTATCTTACTTCCGACTGCCGGAAAACAACAATGCTGTTCAGAATCCTCAACCTCGGAGGAATCGCCTATCTTACTTCCAACTCAGAAACACAACAATTAGTGTACCGAAACATTTATGTCATAGCGACAGACTTAAGTAGGATGGTGGTAGCTAACCAGACGTCCGTTTGGTTAGCCTAATTCCTTAGTCGCCAATCTAATTGCGGCTGTAGCGCTACAAAGAGTACCTACTTATTAGTCTCAAATCTTTCCACTTTTACCTATCAACCTGACCCTAGTAGCACCCTACCCTGTGTATAGTTGTAGCTGCTAAAATGCATTCAATGTTATTTAGGCGTGGCGATAGTGGTGCTGGGGATATGCTTCTGCTGCATCAGGCGATGCTTCCGCAAGCGACGCTCCAAGGACGGCAAGAAGGGCATGAAAGGCGTCGACCTGAAGTCCGTCCAGCTCTTAGGATCAGCCTACAAGGAAAAGGTAATGTTTTGTCTCCATTTCCTCGGCTTGGCGCGGAGCACCTATTTAAAATCTACCTACAGACTTTAGCACTAAAACTAGCTTTACATAGTACTAATAAATGTCACTACTGGTGTTAATTAAACTATAATAAAGGTATGACAGCTAAATAAATGAATTTAGCTTCTACTTTTACAGTTGCCGTACCTTCTAACGACTGTTACGCTCTTCGTGAATTTTAATAAACCGTTTCAACTGTTGATTTATTAGTAAAGTTGTGTTCCGTAACAGACAAAATTGCTAGAAAACTTTTAATTTATTATTTAAAGGTGGATCAATAATTTTTGTTGTTGCATGCACGGCAATGGTTCGAAGATCCTTCAAGCCGCTTATTCTTAAGAGATATGATATTCATGTGAAATTTGCCGCGGGACGTGCATTTAGGTTCAGCCGGACATGGAGGAGCTGACGGAGAACGCCGAAGAGCCCGACGACGGAGACTCCAAGAAGGAAGAACAGAAACTAGGCAAGCTCCAGTACAAGGTGGGTCTGCTCCCCAATTACCTCAGAAGAACCCCTATCCACCATATTGGGCAGCTTGGTACGAACGCAGCAAACACTCTACTTTATTGTATTATCTAAGTATATTATTATCACAATGACACACGCATTTAGTAGAAAAACATATTTAATTATGCATACCATTCAAAGTCATATTGTATCTCAGCAGTAACACTTCTCCATATATTATCATTTATTACATATATCATGAACACATACCTATGCTAAACATGTCATATTAAAATATTTAATCCAGAACATACGAATGAATTATAATAACAATTCAAAAATAAAAGTTTAGGAAAATATTAACTCTTATTGTTATTGGTCTATTGAAGGAGACCGTACCAATACTCGTATAGGTATTGTTCACGTTAATTAACTCTGCTTCCATTTACCACAACGCACATAATAAGGTCATATAAGATTAACAAAAAGTTATTCGGCGAACTGTCACCTATAAATAATCAGCTATTATTACCTATCCAAATAACATCTATCACATTCGGATATCCAACTCCATGCTTATCAATTATTATTATCCCTCCTGCTTTATTTTAAGTGCCATTCAATTATCATGGTTATTGAACCTGTCGACACTGACTGAACTTCATCAAAGATTTAATTTGCAGCTGGAATATGACTTTAACAGCAACAGTCTGTCAGTTACCGTCATCCAGGCCGAAGAACTGCCGGCTCTAGACATGGGCGGTACTTCAGACCCTTACGTGAAGGTTTACTTGCTCCCCGATAAGAAGAAGAAGTTTGAGACGAAGGTCCATCGAAAAACTTTAAGTCCAGTCTTCAACGAAACCTTCGTGTTCAAGGTAAGCGAACTATAATAGGTTGCAAACAGTGCTTCTTTGGAGAATACGCTAATGTGTCTAAATCCTTATGCAGAATGTGCCGTACGCCGACGCAATGAACAAAACGCTCGTCTTTGCGATCTTCGACTTCGATCGGTTCTCGAAACATGACCAGATTGGTGAGGTGAAAGTGCCTCTGTGCCAGGTTGACTTGGCGCAGACCATCGAGGAGTGGCGCGAGCTGCAGAGCGTGGAGGGCGAGGGCGGGCAGGTGCGGACACAACACCATACCACAGATACATACCCCAAAGACCACATATACTTAGACTTCGCATACAGTCTACTATACGACGTCATGCTGACAATATTGTTCGCTATGATATTAACTTTTAATCCCAAACGTAGACTGATTGTTTGCGTTTTAAATTACAATTTCAGCATCTCGATTTTTGAAGTTGTGGTAAGAGTTAAGTACTCGTGGTATTAATATATATTATGTATTAATATATATTTAATAGGTTTAATTTATCTCTAGTTTCAAGGTACAAATTAGTGAGTAAAATAATGTATTTAAATATGGCTTTATTAGCCATAAAGAGGCATAGAATAACAACTGATACTTAAAAGTAAGTATAATTCTCAATATTTGAACAATTTTTGGGCCAAACAGCTAATATTTGTTTCATATTACTCATTTAATACTCAATGCAATCAAGTACACTGAATGACGTCATGTTGCACAAAAATACAATTGGTTAAGTTAACGACACGTTAACAGTTGCACCCAGGTCACATCAACAGCCTTGTCTATTATACACGACTTACTCAATAGGAACCGACATCGATCCTATGAATGCACAAACTAAGACTAAGGTTGTTACAACAGAAGTTGTTACAAAAAAGTATCAAGAAGACTATTTATCTTTTTTTCTTAGCTTAGGCTGAACTGCCAAAACACACATTTTTAATCACAGTTAAAGACTACATGTTAATATTAAAAATATGGGTTTTGGCAACACAGCATTACTTTACATTATAACATCCTTTCATCATATTATCCGCCTATTATTTAGTTTTTAAGTTCCAACTACTTAGCTATTCAGTCCATGATTGGATTTAGCATTTTCAAGCTGCTGTTTTTCTTTCATATCAAGCTCCTTGAAAGGATGGTATACTTACTTACATTTTTTGAAATTTTACTGCACTTTTTTGATCAGAGGAACCTTGACCATAAACATTAATGACATAATCTTGAAGCTATCCTTTCTTTCACTATGACTTTGGGTTGCGGCCTTATCACGGTTGCGTCGTGGCCAGATGCGATGCGCGTTGGAGTCAAGGCCCCTCAATGTGGATTGAGTCGTCATTTATTTTTCTGATAAAATTAATTTCGACAGCAAAAATGTATTTACTTGGTTTTTCTCTTTTTCTCCATATTTTCTCTGCTCTGCTTGGCTGTGTTTGATTGTGTCCTGAACAATCTTGCATGCCGCTTCAAAAACGAAATGATCATTCACGTAAGTATTATTTTGAGACACATCAAGATATAATTATTTAAATATAAATTCACCACTTCCGAACACGTCTATACGAAATCTACTGATTAGTGAATAAAGGTGTTTTCCATAGAAAAATATCGTCAAATTGCTAGGTTATACATAGGAAATTAGGCATCATTCGGATTTCAATATCCACGGCAAAATGGTTCACCTTTACCTATCACCTATCATAACCACATTTTGTTTATAAGTTTATTTTTATCCATCCAACACTTGTTTTAATTTTATATTGCGGCTGGGGAATGTTGCATGTATATGTTACTAGTGTAAATGTTATATATCGTCGTAGCTTTATGTGATCTCCCTGACTTGTATTAATGTAATATGTACCTATTGTCACACATTTTTTTCAAAATTCTGTAATGTGTATGTAATTAGGTTGGAATGATTTGTCAACTCAGGGTGATGAACTAATCAATTTTAATAAGTGTGTGTTTTAATTGGCTATTCGCTATTAGATTGGTACTTTCAATTTCACCACTCGGGCTACGCAAATGTTGTTATCTAAGAAAAAATATTGAATTTACTAAGATTTTTACATTTTCTTATTTCATTTGGTATCAATACCTAACTTATCTTTATTTTTTCTCAGATAACTTCGTAATTCCGCTTCAAAATTCAAAGGCATTATCTTAACGTCATACTCGAAAGTTGCTATGACGTTTGTTATTCAAACCTGATTGCCATTGTAACACACCTTAATTGTTTTTAACAACTTTCTTATATTGGCTCTACAATTTGTTAAAAATATGACCGCAAAAAGCGGTATGGGCAAAAGGTACATACTTTTACTACGCCCAGTCTATAAGGTAAAATCCCAAGGCAATAGAAGACTATATTTTAGATTTCTTAAGTGATCATCATAATATAGTTTCTTTGTAACTGAATACAAATAATGTGTTACAGGTCGCCTTCTGCTGACCGCTGTGAGGAGATTAACAATAATGCACCACAAACAGCTGCATGGCAAAACGTAGTACTAATGGTGTAGGAATTTTATAATCTTTTAAATCAACTTTTAAAACTTACAACTACATGCATCCTACGTGCCGATCTAGCTGTAGGATAAAAGTTGTCACTCACCTATTTTACCTTTAGTTAATACAAAATAATGGTTTCAGTGTTACTTAAGCAAGTTCAGTCGAGACTAAAAAGCTTAGCACAGCACCTTATTTATTAATAAAACAAATCAGATTGTACATAAAACAAACAACTGTAATAATAAGTTCATTCGTGACCACCGCCAAAACAAACTAGGTCGAAACATTAAGTTTTCATAGAAGCTCCATATGCAAGCATTCGTGTTTGAAATGCAATAAAAATATATTATACCTGCTCTAATAATTTGTTTTTATACCTGCTGTAATTTTGTAAAATAAAATGATATGCTCTATTTATAATCTAAAAATAAACAAGAGGTGCGTGACAGCGATAAATAAATCCAATTTACATAATCCTAACCAGAATAAAATAGCAACTCAATGTTTCTACACCATTAATGATTGTTTGCAATGTGTACGTGTCAGTGTATATTGTCGATGTTACTGGTAATGTGTTGCACTTCCAACTCTGAGTGTTAACCTGAACTAGCTCAAGAAAGAAATGCTATTAACTATGTAGAGTAAATAAATATTAAAATGAAGAAAAAACATTGTACTGGCTCTGCCATACGGTATGAGTGCGAAAAGAGGTGAGCGCAGATAGACAACACGTTTTCAAACCAAATAACTAAATAAATACTAAGATGTCGACGTGTTTAATATCACATACACGGCGCGTGCGACGACTGTCAAATAATAAGGAAATAGAGCTGCGCTCTCGTCGTATCGCTATCGTGCCGGCTATGTGTCAGAGAATTAAGGTTTAATAAATGTTGATAAAGAAGCTATTTCTTTGTTGGGAGCAGTAGAGACACTGTGACCGTGTCGTGTATGTTATGTGTATTATGTGTACTAGACATAATTGCGATCTGTTCCTAAAATGGTTAGTCTTCTTTGCAGAGTAGGCTTCGTCAGATAAAGGTAATAATTGCACACTTAGGTCACTTCTGGAGGATTAGGCCGTAAGGTGAGCACTTTGATGATCTGAGCTGGGTGTTACAAAAATAGAATTGGCTTCATTTCGGCAACAGATCGTAATGACCACATTATTTCTGTTACAAATATAAATTATATATTACAGCGGAAAATGATTGCTTCATATTAGGTTTGAACGTTGGTGTACCCAAGTATTTTTTGTTCGTCGTTTAGAATGTGTTAACAGATATGTATCGTGTTTAATTTCATGTTTTAGATGAAATTATTTATGTGCTAAAACGTTATATGTAACGCAATGAAAGTGTTCGTCAAATGTGCGTATGATTAGATGCAATCTCTATCCCGATTGAGGCTATCTCAACTGTCTATGGGCTATGCGTCCTCCGCACGTGCTACGGGGCAGTTCTTCAGTTTTGTCTTTGCTTCAATCTTATTTGATTCTTAAGAAAAAAACCCAAACTGAAACACTGCGCCGCCCACTCCAACAACCATAACTACGCTTTTAGGTGACTACACGAAGCTATTGTTTTGTTCATTTATTTTTGTTTCGTGTAACGAGATTTGAGTGCCCTGACCCACCCTAAGCCGCGTTATTTATGGCCCATATATTATTTGTATGTTTTATAAAAAGCTTTTCTAACCCGGTCTCTGAACGCTATTAGTAATCCTTACATACACAACTCTTCCTCTTTTATCTTCCATACTTTCACATCCCAATAAACTCTTCTACCCGAGAAACAATGCACAACCAAAAAGATATCATACTGGTTAGAAATTATCAATAGGTACTGAACATTAACATAATTGCATAATATTGTTCTAACATTCACTTGTCGACTGCTGGCAGATAATTTTTCGAACTCCACCTTATTTCGAAGTATTACTTACAAATATTTTAGTAAGTATTTCAGTTTACAGCCTTGACTTGTTGACTAAAAAGAATTGACATACGCGTACATTTTGCAGGACAACAAGCTGGGAGACATATGTTTCTCATTGCGTTATGTGCCCACGGCCGGGAAACTCACAGTTGTCATTTTGGAAGCGAAGAACCTAAAGAAAATGGACGTCGGTGGCCTATCAGGTAACATTCGCACGTTTGAGATACACTCGCGGCATATCTAGCGTAACAGTTGCACTGAACCTCATTCTTATTTCATGAAAAATAAGAGGGATCGGAAGGTCTATATGATACGCCTGATATTGCTGCTGTGTGTAACATCTCGATGTTGTGCTCGGTTATCCTATTTATTTATGACACTGATAACACTATTATCTAATTTCACAGGGATTTTAGTGTAACATTTGTTATATTTTACTGTTTTATCGATAAAGGGTGTGTATTAAAATTTAGGATAGAAGTTTTGCTCAAAATATTTAACATGCATGTAATTTCATTTTATCACAGTTACATTATTAGTAAATGTGTTACATTAATCTAGTAAAATAGAACTCTACACTTTGCGTTAGGTATTCGTACACACTAGTTTCATGCGATAATATTTAATTACCTACATAAATACTTAAGTAAAGATTTATTTGCTATTATTATTTTCTCACAAGTAATTTTACTCTTCACCATTAATATATGCAATATTGTATCTATCTACTCAGAAAATATTTATGGTATTCCATCACGCTTGTTAATAATTAATGGCAATAATGGGTTGAAAATACAAGCAACTTTAAAACTAATAAATGGTATTCAATCCATTATTTTGTAAGTAGGTAACACGAGTAGATTGTTTCCTGAGATCATTAAGTACATTTTAATTTATGTTTGAGTTATACTTAGCGCCATTTTCTAATGATAGATGAAGGAAACAATCTAGAAAATGCAATATCTCGCTTAGGATCCTCTACTTTTATTACTTTTTCATTCATATTTTAAACAACTCATTAAGTAAGTAAGTATAAAATGAGTTTAATCCTGAATTTTTCTGTTTCATATCCTGATTGCTGCGCGGCTCAACAGATCCGTACGTAAAGATAGCACTCATGCAAAACGGCAAACGTCTCAAAAAGAAGAAAACGAGCATCAAGAAATGCACACTGAATCCCTATTACAACGAGTCATTTACTTTTGAAGTACCATTCGAACAAATACAGGTGCGAGCCGAGATTGCAAAATTCGATGTCGCAGCGTTCAGATTCGACAATTATCCGAATAAAACTCCGAAACTAAAGGATGATGGGCACTTTTCTATGGAATCTGGGCGTAAAACCAACAGAAATGTAACTACTATTATTTGTTAGGACTTAATATCAGAAATATATTTTCATATAAATAACTACCAAAAACTCCCGGGTTTGCTTGGAAATTGACATAATGTGTAATAGTAATAGGTGCTTTATTGCGCAAACAAAAAATATTATTAATTAATATACTTATCTACTTACATTTTAGATACATTAAGTTATTTATCTATTATTATGTCCAACAGTTCAGGAGTGGGGCCAAAAAATGGTATATTTAAACCATGTTCTACATTATAAGCGTAGGACCATACCTAAGTACCATTTAGAGAAATAACATGAACACAGTCATGTTTCAATGGGATTTCTACCAGATAAGTTGTAGTGTTTTCGCATAATCGATCACGGATGGATTATTAATCGATATTGCCAAATAACGATTTATCGATTAACAATTCGATTAATCGATTTGATTACCATCATCACTGTCATTTGATTGTGAATTCAATTCCTTATTTTCAGCAATATAATCGATTATTGCAATCGAATAATCGATTGTGATTTATTCGGTATACATACTTACTAAATCGATAGTAACATATTATACAATACTCTCAATATGATCGATAAAAGCAATATAATTGACCTAATACTATTTTTATTACCCTAATGTGATGTGAAATACTATGGAAACTTTGCATATTCAACGACCTCTATCTCCGTAACCCCGCGTATTTCAGGATTGTTGTCATATTATGAAATGAAGTACTAGTATTAAGCTTTAATTTAGTATACTTTTTGTCTCTGTTGGTTTAACGCCCAATATGCCCATCATCCTTTACTCGGAACTACATTATTTTATTTAGCTTTTTAATTCTATTTCAGTTTTTCGTTGGTTTAAAGTACCTACCGACAAACAGTAAGAAGTTTATTTAAAAATAATCTATTACCAAAAGTAAAAATTAATTTTTAAAAGAAATGTAGAGCTTCATAGTTACATTGTTTCTTTATTTAGTAGTATATTATCTAATTAATAAAGACTACTTACAATAAGAGTGTAAGTAGAGTACCTAATAATTAAATAAATATTATTTAATTATTAGACAATATACGAAATATAGACCGTTTAAAACGATGTTATATTATGAATAAACAAACTCGAATGTTTTTAAAGAATCTTTTTTTTTTCATTTATTTATCGAGGCCTCTTGATAGGTTCGCGTCTAATAACTCTAGCTTTGTTTTAATTTAAATAATAAGCACGTACTTGCAAAAAATGTGCTTCCTTTTCAAATCTAAAAAAAACTAAAGGGTTGCAAGTGTTGAAACAATACCCATCTCAATGGTATTCAACCAAGTAAGCTACTTCATACATCCCGTCTCCACACCACGTTGTTTTTTCAACCGTCGCCGTCGAATACTGCAAGCGAAAACAAACCTTATGTGAAACATAATAAGTTACCCTTATTTTTTGGAGGCTAAGCTCTGGTATCACTGAAGAGGTGTACCCAAGGTTCATTGTTGAGTTAGTTTTGTGAAATAGCTCTCACATAAGAAGCAATATTGTACTTTCTTGTCAATACACTATTCAGTTTTCTTAAGATATTTTATAAAAGTGTTTTTATAGTGCTCTCGTTGGGTGGTTGAATGAGATCCCAATTAAATGTATTTAGTTCTCCCCTACTGAACACCCTAAAAAAAAAACGTTATTGAGTAAACTGTTTAATTGGACGCGGGATTACTCGTCGAGGTTAGAAAAATCCACTCACCTACCATGTTCTCATCAATTCTCGGCACCTGGTTATGACATTTCTATTTATTTTAATCACAATTTTATATTTTGTTTTTATAATTTCTATTCAATTTAATCACAATTTTATGATATGTTATTTTTTTATTATTGCAAAAACCAATAGCTAATTTGTTACGTGGCTGGTGGACGTGGCAAATGTCAACTTGACAAGTGACATTTTTTTTTTTAATTNGTTATCGAAAGTTTACGAAAATTTTAAGATCATTTTTTCGGAATTGTCTATTCTGTTCGCAATTTGATGTTGTGTATTGATTGTTGTGAATATTAATACATACACCACTTGCATCCATACCGATCCTACTGTCCTATTTACTCTGGATTTTGTGTTTGTTTATTTTCTTTTATGATTTATGTTACGCTATTGTATTACATTTTAATAATTTGACATTTTGTTACAGTGTAAGTACAATCATGAGTTTTATGTTTTCAAAACAGTTCTATAAACGAAAATTCAATACAAACACAAACTACTAACTCAAATTATTATTTCAACTGAGATATTCTAACATATCTATGTGTTTATAAACAATACGTAATATTTGTTTGTTTTTTATGTTGTGTTTCTTGTTTATGTGTGTTCATTGTTGTTGTACTGTTTAGCTAGTCGAATGTTTGTAGGAATCCTATGTTATACTTGTTGCCTTATCTGCTATATCCCCTCTACATATATTCTGGTCTGTCTCTGATCCTACTATGAACCGCCTTTTAAATCCTGAATCCTATTTTGTATTGTTTAAAGCCTCTCTTAGTGACTCCTGCTTCAAAGAGATGTCAACCTTTACCTGTAACTGGGTGTTTCGGCTAAAGATTTTCATCTTTGGCGGGCTCAAAAAGTTTGGCTTTTATCGATATAAAACTTACAAGTTAAGTGGTGTTCAATAATCTCCCCTCGTAACTGCATTACAATTTGGTGACTTCAAATTGTAATTACTTATGGTTTAAGGAATCCAGTTCCTCGTACTTCTTCTGCATCAACTTTTTCTTATTCACAATTTCCTTCTCAACCTTTGCTTTGACCCCCAAAATGCGTTGTAAGTATGAATTATTTACCAAATGTTATGATTTCTGTATATGTGGCATGTGACGAAATGCTTTCATGTGTATTTATATCTGTATTTATTTATGTATTCTACATATTATTATTGCATACTTCATCACACACAAAAACGTAAATGGATTAATAGATACAATGGCGACAAACAATTCATAACAAAAATTTTGTCTACATTGTACCTATTGTTCTGGACAATACGTTTCACATTTCACCGTCATTTGTTTCAATACTTTCAATGTGCACTACATGCTTGTTTGCGCTTCAGAAAGTGAATCTAGTGGTAACCGTTGTGGACTACGACCGCATCGGGACGTCCGAGCCGATCGGGAAGGTGGTGCTGGGGTACAACGCGTCGGGCACGGAGCTGCGCCACTGGTCCGACATGCTGGCCAGCCCGCGGCGCCCCATCGCGCAGTGGCACACCCTCAAGGACCCCGATGATGGAGAGAAGAAGGATTAAACGGCTGATCGCGGTACTTATCTCTATTATTTACTACTTCGCCTCGCAACTTTAGTAGATACTGGTTGTCAAATTTAGTGTCCGTTTGTCACTGAAACATCATACGCCCATACATGGCGCCCATATTCACAAACATTACCATGAGGTCTCACAGCGTGAGGAACACAGGGTCGCACATAAAAGTAGCGTCCGATTGGCTGCTTCACTTAAAGCAAGCATTGTTTGTGATTACGGGTGTTTTTTTTTCCAATCACTATCTTGATAAATTAGGGGTTATTTGCACAAACTTTCATGTCATAAAGGTAAAGATCGATTTCCTAGTATCTATCACGTATCTACCTGTTTATCAGGTCAGAACTCTACATCTAAATTCATCAAAATTGGTTAGCGACTGCATGTAAAAACGACTTTCGCATTTATATTAGTAGTAATTATGGTTTAAAATACGAGTATTTCAGATCAAACGGCTCCTACTTTATCACTCTGCCTAAACACTGCCGTTCAAAAAAAATAACCTACAACCTTTCACCTGTCGGGCAAATACTCTAATCACTGAGCTACATATACAAGCGAAACTATTTGGTTTATAATAAAAACACATTCCTGCATTAACTGTTCCAGGTGAACCAGTACGACGGAGTTCCAAGTGTGAAGAAAATACAAAGTTATTACGAAACTTTTACTTTCTTATAAATTCGCTATTGAACCTTCTATTTAATCTTTCGATCAACAGAAAGTTATACGATTATATTTATTGTGTATGTTTAATTTATTTTAAAGCAAGTATTTGCTGAAATCCTTCTAATAATTTTAGATTCTATCCTCTGTGTATTTTAATAGATAGAGAATGTTGATAGGATTGATTGCGTTTAGTTTAATATTAAGTTACAATGAAATATACATACTTACCTGCCTATCACTTATTGTAACTTACTGAGGAGGGTAGCTAATGTATGATAAAATATTTTATATTTTTTTCGTAATAGACGTTTTTGTCTGTTTCATCTCGATTGACCATTTAATACTCGTATCTCGCTATTAGTCGTGGTGTTGTGTTGTTTGGCGGGAGGTTAGTAGACGTGTGAAGAGGGAGGCGTAAAATAATGTTTCTATGTTGAGTTGTCACTTCCAGACTTAAACGTCGGTATTTATTACGAAAACATTAATTTAAAAGTGATATACTAATATAACATAGCTTTTTTTTTACTACGTGGGCTTTGTTAATGTTACAACTGTGTTATTTACATTCCTTGTAGCAACTAGGCGACGCGTTTGCAACGCAATCTACGTAGGTACGAAATATAATTTCCTATGTCTAAAACCCTATATCTAACGCTATGTAAATAAGTTGAATCCTGTTAAATTTATTACATTCTATTTTACTAAAATGTAAGTGTTATAGTATTGATACCCTTTTAAAATTGTTCCTCTATAGAAGAGAAATTGTTGTGGTAGTAAAACATATTTAGAGTTGTATCTTAAAGAGTTGCTATGACAGAATATTTTGTTTAGTAAATTATTTTTCAAGTTCTCTTCTTACGAGGAACAAATAGGCCTATTATATAGGTACCTAATAATCTTTATTATTTTAAGACATGACATTTTTTTACACGGTTTAATTAAAGTATCTACTTATGGCCCATTAAAAATTGCAAAAATGTAATTATTTTATAGAAATGTCTATTCTTGGTCTACGTGATTACATAGTTTATTAAATAATTATAATTTATTTAACAATTGGCCACTTAACAACCACGTGGTATCATCGAAACTAGTCAAACGTTTAAGATTTAAAATAAACATTATAACTAAAGATATTGTTAAATAGTTTGAAAGTTTTAATCGTCTTTAATTATACTGCAATATACGTCTACTAAGCAGTTTCGTTCATTGCATTCATTTACTTCAATCATTTAAAGTCCATGGTTAGGTATATGATGTTCGGAAATCTTCTAATTTCTATATGAAGTCTATATACTTACATACTTAGCTAAAGCTTGACTGTTGTTGATCTCAAACGTATGTGTTATTGTGTATATAATGTAATCACATGTTAAATTTCACGATCACATGGTATATCTACGTATAGGAGTATCGGACTCGGGCTTCAAGTATTAGAAGTGCACCAACACGAAACAAGTAGGAATAGACTTGTGGTTCAAGTACTGTATTTAACAATAAATATAAATATGTTAAATGTAATATAGATTGTACTTACTAGTAAATAACTACAGATTCATAGACCGTTTTGCTTCATATTTTGAAACGTGCAAGTTACACCTACAGCGAACGTACATTACTGCGCCAGAGTTCTAACTCTTGTGAATAGACTTCAAAATAAAAAGAGGACATTTTGTGTATCTTTTTAGATAAATTAATATTTAAAAAGGTAATGCAAGAAAGTCACAAGAAAGAAGCAACAATGCTGTGTCGTCAATAGCGACTAAAGAACTCCATAACTTGTCACAAACGATCCTTTCTGATCGATCCTGATACTGATCGGAAGGTTGGATCAAAAGAAAACTAAGAAAGAACTACCCAAAACCTTCTATGAATCTGTATGGTTATCATAACAACACTACTCTCAGGCGCGCCAATCAAAAGGTCAGGCCTCGTTAGATTGACAATATAGAATTCAACATGCTATTTAATAATGTTTTGTATAATCTTAAGAAAAACGAAATATGTGAATAATCGCTAGACTAATAAAACTTTTAACAATACGCTGATACAAATCGTTGTCTTTAAATTCGTCAATGATTTGTCATCTTTCGTCACCGTGCCTAATTACCATGATTGCTTGTTTAATGTAATGACTAAGGTAGGCGCCGGTACTCAAGCTTAGTCAGCAAATACATGAATGTATTCTTAGTCTCCACTGATCTTTTTAATTTCACTTTATTTACATTTAATTTCATATCATTTTTATTAACAAATGATTTGGCGCAGTAGTCAGAGAACTCGACTTTTGGGACTAGATAGCACCCTCGAAAATTGTCCAAGGATACGGACGGATTTACGAAGTATTCATATATAGAAACTATGTGAAAGTTCATTTGGCGATCTAATAACGGAAATGAAAGACATTACCATCATTGGATCAAGGACCTTCCTACCTCAGAATAATACATTTTCAAGCAATTATGACACTTGAGCACTCTAAAAATTGTAATCAACCTTGGAATAATATTAAAAAAATATTTTAGGAAGCTATCATGATGACTTAATGGACCATTAGCTATTGCATTTTAATATCTTACTGGATATGCATTAGTGTAACAACAACTTGGAAAAATCTCAACATAATAATTGGTCCGATTTTGAGGTAGTTACAATTATCAATAACTATTTTGCATAATAATGTATGAAAATATTGTGTGGCGTGTTGAGCTGTTGTATGGAATGCTGTTTGTTACAATTTAACCAAGTTCGCTGAATTTAGTGTTGAATTAATCCGTTCTAAATCTTAATTTTAATAGTTACACTAAACAATGCAGGGTTTAATCGGTATCCCCATTGCCCATCTCTTGCACTTGACTATACATTAGTAGGTTTGTTTCGGTTATAATGTTGTTATTGTAGATGTATCATGTATATATTCATAAAGTTTATTATATGTATATATCCAAATAATTGTCATATCACTTACCACTTGAATAAAAGCATTGTCCGATTAAAATTATGTTAATAATTATTTTAGACGAAATAAATAGATATTTTTATTTCATTATTATAATTTATTTAGAGTTTATAATAGTAATGAATTATGTAAACTATGAAGAATGTCTATAATACATAATTACATAGATTTTGTTGTTTCATTTCTTGAATCTACCACTGCACTGTTACAATAAAATGACTACAAAACTTTTCAGGAAGTTTTAGTTCTATAGTACTATAAAATTTGTTTAGAAAAAAGCCAATGACTACTTTTTCTTAAATTTAACAAATTTTTACAACAAAAGATAAAATTAAATTTTACCCCATTTCATCATTTATAATTTCAGGTAAAAATTCACAGCTAATATGTATTTAAGTTATCACATTTTGGATTATTAAATTACAATACTCAACGTCAATTCATGAGTACCTATAAATCTAATAAATAAAGTTAGTAATAAAACATGATCTTGTAGACAGAGTAAATTCTGTACCCATGCTATGCAGTTTCGTCATAATACCTCCTTTTCATTGTACGATACTTTTTCAATTTGTAAAGAGCTTCGATTTCTTTAACGACGAATTCACCGTGTTTTATCATTACCTTGATCTTTTCTGGATCAGTCTCCTCGCTGTTCTTCGTAAACACTTTGTGCAGTCTCTTCCGAAATAAATCGTAGCCCTGAGGCCAATCGCGTCCCAGAAACAGCAACTGCAAAATAACAAAATCAATACAATCAAGGTTCCTACATATTATCACTGATATCAAACTTAAATAGTAAACAAATTAAAAATGTTTACGTAAATTGGTTTGTTTTTGAGAAATGTACACTTACGGTTTTATATAAATTGAGAACGGCCTGGCGATGCGGTTGACTCATTGTAGTAATATTACTTTAGCCAAGAAAGTTACAATTTATTGAAAGAAAATATTATTGAAATTCAAGTTCATAGTCCAAAACTTTATTTTCATCACGAAAGTTTTGGAAATACGTCACTGTCACAATGACATTTTCTTTTTTTATCCTAAACTTTCTCTTTGACCGGATATTAGTGAAGTACTCTGCGAAACCGGTTTTTTTGCAAAAATCTTCGAGTCCGTAGTTAAAATATAGAGACGCCATAGACTGAAGTCCTCGTAACTAAGCAACCATTATTTTGTTATTTATTGTTTGTTGCCATCGCATTGTGCATTGTGTTCAAATTGGGTATCATTGTGTAGATCATTAAAATAAAATAATAATGGCTGATGACGAAGCTGCTGGAGAAGGTATCTACATGTTTTAATCATTGACATTATTTTTACATAATCTAATACCTTTATTTTCGTATATTCAGTAGCTACAACTGTTGTGTCAGCAAGCCCAGTGACTACCTACTATCATGCAATGACATAATCATATAAAAACATCTAAGACTATCATGCGCTAAATATTTAAACTGCTGCACTTCATGCGCTAAAATTAAATATAAACTGTACCTACCATAATTATGTTTTACTAAAATACGTTCATTCATAACTCAGGTACTTAAGGTCCGATTTCCACCAAGGCGGAGCGTAGAGGAGCTTGTTTCCTGAATAATAAAATCTGATGGGATAATCTAAACACTTCTTCGCTCCGCCGGGCCTAACGCAAAAGGAAAAATAGAATTAATTTAATTAGCTTTTTTAAACTAAAAGGGGAAGAAGAAGAAGAAGTTCCAGAAGCAGCCCCTGAGGAGGTCGAAGAGGAACATGTGGAGGAAGAATCTATTCTCACTGAATACGATCCAGATGAGTTCGTATCTGGTGCAGTCAACACTTTGGATTCGACTATTCCACTGGATCTATTTGAATTTGAGTATCCTTTTAATGAAAGACTAAGAAATTGACGACTTACATCAAAATCTTATGTTTAAACTTGCATAAATTTGAAAATTATAAATAACTTGAAAATTTCGACAGATTCATCCAGTGTCTAAGTACCTAGCTCAGATGGAAGATCAGTCGCTCGGTAAGCCAAAGGTCGTGGGTTCGATTACCGCCTTAGGCAGTTCGATTTTTTCAAGTTATTTATAATTTTCAAATTAGTTTGAGATGCAACTCTTAACGCTAAAAACTAAATAACTTTCCATGAATTTATTTTAATAAAGTAATATCACAGAATAAGTTATATTTACGATTACTAATAGTAGAAAACTGAGAAGCAGCATACCTATCTCGGCCAGCTTTTATGTTCATGCTTATCACACACATCATACCTCTTATATAGTGAGATTCAAACCCATAACCGCCGTAATTAATGGTATCTTAGTCCTTAAAAATAAATAAGTACATAGTGGTTCTGTCTATAACAATATTTTTTTAACTCGTAACTAAGATATTCCTATGGATACAACTGTCACAAGTATTTCAACCTCTGCGCGTGCGACGAGTCTGTCGTGTGCTGGGCAGCCGGCAGCATCATGACCTTCATGGACGTCAACACAAAGCAAACCTGGTTCCGTAGGACTACCACTGGAGGTTCTATTGGACATATCACAGTAATACCCGTTTTCTTACTTACAAAATAATACTTACCCAGCCTATTAATTACCTAATATTCCCAAAATAATACAGTCCTTTCGCAGAGACCCGAACTATCGCATAGCCGTTGCAGAAGGTCGTGAGGGTGACCGAGATCCATTGATTCTTCTGTACACATGGCCACAGATGGACATTGATGCAGTTTTACGGGATGGCACAACCAATGCGTATTCTGTGCTCGATTTTAGGTGATAATACGTGCTTTTTTCAGTCAAAAATCTCCTAAATAGTTCCGCTGATAGTAACTTGTAATACATTCCAGTCCCGATGGTGAACTACTTGCATCTGTTGGAAAAGAGCCCGACTACAATTTGACCATTTGGAATTGGAAACGTCATAAGATTTTATTGCGTACCAGTGCTTTCACATTTGATGTAAATGCAGTCATGTTCTCACCATATTGTCCAGGGCAACTTACAACAGCAGGTGAATAAAATTAATACATCATATTGCAATAATTTACAAAGAGTAAGTAATACTTACTTCGGCTTATCGATTTTAGGTGCCGCTCATATAAAATTTTGGAAAATGGCGGAAACTTTCACCGGCCTGAAATTAAAGGGAGAACTTGGAAGGTTTGGTAAAACTGAAATATGTGATGTGCTGGGTGTCTACCCTATGCCCGACGAAAAGGTATAATAACCTAGTAGCTTAGGAGTATGTAATACAAAGTTGTATAGTACAATAAAATAATGATTCTTAATTCAAATTCAAATTCAAATCTTTATTGCAAGGTGCTTTCTGGTTGTGAATGGGGTAACGTTCTCGTATGGGAAGCTGGACTCGTCAAAGTTGAAGTAACACAGCGTGGACGGAAGAACTGCCACAAGGCACCAGTTGTGAGTATTGGGATCTTGATTTCAAGGAGTTGGGGCACTTAGTAAAAAACTACTACTACTATGAATGTTGTTTCCAGATACAATTCATGCTAAGTCCTGCTGGTGACGAAGTCACAACAATCGCTCGGGATGGCTGCGTACGCGCTTGGTACTGGGATACTGTAGAGCAGGCGGATCCACCCGAAGATGACCCGTATGTGGAATTAAACCCTGTCGCCGAGACTTGTGTATGGTTCTAATGCTCATTAGCAATAAGTATCTACCTATTTTGCTTTATTTCGATATGCTTAATAAAAGCTAAATTGCGATTTCAGGTGCCGAATTGCCAGATAATGTGTCTGAAGCATCAAAAAGACATGTTCTGGTATGCTCAAGTAAGTTGTTTAGTATATTATTATTATTATTGTTTTCCTACATTTAAGTAAAATTTTGAGTAGAATTCTATGAGAATCATTTTTCGTCGTTTTAGGACGGAAACGGTGGACTCTGGACTGTAGAGCTTGAGATAGACAAAATCGAATGTAACCATCGTAAAGTGATGACGTGCCACGCAGGAGGCGTGGTAGCAATGGCTGCCTTACGGACTCACCCAATCTTAGTCACAGCTGGAGAAGATGGTTCGCTGTTGGCTTACAGCACAGAAAACCATGTATTGCTGGCACGATACCAGTTTCCAACCGCCATCACTTGTCTTTTGTACCCTCCCGTGGATGTAAGTTATGATGTGATTTTACAAACACGTCAGAAGACGTCATAATAGACAGCCATTTCCTCAGAAACTCAACTTTTCACTGAACTAAATTTAATTTACACCCAGGTCGATGAAACAAGCAGAATAATAATGTTGGGGTTCTCAGACGGGATAATGAGGACTTTACTGCTCCATCCTGAACGGTTACAGGCACAATCCAGCATGATTGACGTCAGAGTGCATTCCGCGCTCACTATACACAGCGAAGACTCCATCAATGCTGATGTTATAGACATGATATCGGTAAGATAGAACAGTAAAATTAAATTGAAAACCATTTATTAACTTTGTCATGCCATTTAAATACAATTTTATCAACTCATGCAGCTCTTGAAACCCCATTCGAAGCCTCTCGTCCAAATAACTATGAATGAGCAACGCACACTAGTGGTAACTTGTGGGCAGGATAGCACCATATTTATGTACCGTTTAGAAGCTGGAACACCATTTGTTCTGCATCGCCTTGGCTTTATAGAGACTCCAAACAATATCGCCTTTATGACCTGGAAGCCAGAAGAAGTAAGTTATGCTAAACTATGTCAGTCAATTGAAGTTGAAGTGGAACTGTAAATAAGACCATAAGTCCTTGTTAATTTTAGGAACGCGTTATTTTACTTTGTGGACAAGTTGGCCTGCTGATGGAGGCAGTTTTGCCAGAGGTTCCCAATCGCAAATATACAGAAATTACGACGTTCAAATTAGATTTCGTTTCCTACAAAGAAACATTGGTGAAGAAAAACTTGTAAGTCACTTCATCTATACTTCTATCTATACTAATACTATAAATGCGAAAGTAACTCTGTCTGTCTGTCTGTCTGTCTTGCTTTCACGCCAAAGCCAATGAACCGATTTTGATGAAATTTGGCACAGAGATAGTTTGAGTCCCGGGAAAGGACATAGGATAGTTTTTATCCCGGTTTTTGAAACAGGGACGCGCGCGATTAAGTTTTTCTGAGGCAGACAAAATTACACGCGGGCGAAGCCGCGGGCGGAAAGCTAGTAAGAATATAAATTTGAAAAAATAAACGTGGATTTTTTTATTTATCTAATTAATTATCGTTATCTTTTAGCATGCGTTATCGACCATTTCCTCAAGAAGAAGATTTGGCCAGTATCGATGAAGAAGCATTAAAAGCCAAGGAAGAAGCCGAAAAAGAAAAAAAAGATGACGAGGAAGAAGAAGAATACTTAGGAGAAATACAACTAAGTAAGGCCTGCCATAGGTACTAATAGTATTTTTCTATAATTGTTTATGGGGTAGAAGGCTTTATTAATTTAAGGTTAGAAGTCTAAGCAAATAAGGTTAATTTTCCAGTGGAAAGCGAAAGTATGCTTGGTACGACTATAACCTGGGCACATTACTGCGAGGAAGGTATATGGGTGGTGCAGCGTGGAACTGGTGCTCTCTTGCTAGTAAAGCCTGGCAACAACAAAATACTCAAGTATGGACCGTTCCCTGGCGCTTGGTGTGATGACATCACTTCTCTGAAGTTTGTGTAAGTTCCTTTAAAAGTTGATAATTAGGTACGATTTGAATAATTTCGAAGACGTCTTTGATTCATCTTGACCTCTAATTTTTACAGATGTGATGAACGATACCTTATTATAGGTACAAACACAGGTTATGTGCGGGTAGTTCGTATGCCAACAGAGGAAGAAGATACCCCCGAGCAGCACTACATGACCTGGATGATGGCGCAACAGAAGCTGCTAAAAAAACTGAAAGGCAGGCGGCTGGCTAAAGAGGAGGTAAACATTACCATTATGATCCACTTAAAACTAGTACAAATATGTATTTTTTCACTTGTGTACAATGTACTATGATCATAATACGGTTTCAATTTACAGAAACAACCAACTCCCCGTATAGACTTCATAGATAACTACTATCTGCCGATGCATGACCGCTATACTGGCGCAATTACATGCCTTGAGTTTAGCTCCGATGGAAAGTAAGTAATGCATAAGTAATTGCTTCTAATTTCCTAGAATTGCTATTTCTGGTATTTCTAATTAAAATCATATTTTTTTAGGAATTTTTATACTTGCGGATCTGATGGAAATATATTTTCATATGTTATCAACTTTGATGAGCCTCTATTACCGGCGCCTTCGCTGCCTGCACCTCCTGAATTGCCTGTAAGTAAATCATGTGATATAAAATTATTATTGGCATAATGATTAGATACCTACATTACCGTCATAAATTTTATGTCATCAGAAAATGGAGAAAGTGAAAGAACCGAGCACCTTGGAAGGAGACCTGATGTCTCACGAACAACTGAAACAAAAGGAGGAGTACGACAAGATGATGGCGATTGCCAACGCACATAAGAAACGAGTGCGTGACAACCTTGCCGAACTTACAGCTGAGTACAACAAACTTATAAAAGCGTAAGTTCCCGTTATTTCAAAATAGTCTCGAATACTAGCTGAAATTGGTATAGCTTATTATGTGTTATTTATTCTGGAAAAGTACAACTTCAATTAAATTAATTGGTGATAGAAACAGATCAATTTTTTTCATGCCCACAGAAACCGCACGCTTCCAGTATCTCAGCAAATCGACGTGACCCTTGACCCAAGACCGTTAGCTGTACAAGAGGCGGAGCTGGATGACGCTAAAGCGTTGACCAAGAGGAAGCTGGCACACCAGCTAGAAGCCTCCGACTTAGCTTTGCACAAGATGTACTCAAGAAATATCATTCAGTTGGACGTATTCCCGTTTACATTAACAGCAATTAGGTAGGTAACAAACATACCCAAGTGTTACGTGAGCGTAAAAACGTACAATAAATTATTATTGAATCTTTCATTTGGCAGGGATCCAGAAGTTATGATTAGACCTTTACGACAAAAGAATCTTTCGAATGCGTTCTATAACCAACTCGAAGAGGTTTACCAGAAAATGGCGGAAGCTGCATTAAGGGGAAGGTAAATTTAATTCTAGGAGAATGATTCAATTTCACCTCTCCTTTGACCTATTACAAGATTTTATAGAGACATGTCTAATTTCACGCTGACCTTAGAGATATGAATTTATTGGAACTGGCAGAAGCAGAACTAAGGTGAGACAAAATAATTATATTAATGACTGTGATGCTTGCTTAGTGATAACTCACACTCGCACCGCATCTTCTTTCTACACTTTTTCATTTTCAAAACCTCAAAAAATACATAAATGAGAGAATGAGTCTGCAACACTCTTTTACCTGTATGCCTTATAGTTAAGTATCTCATAATAAAAGAAATAAGTTTCTTTATTAAGCAAGCCCGTTAATTTTATGTTGTCGTCACGTTACACAGACGAGCGGAGTCAACAACCCGTCGAGCTGCAGCCCGCAAATCTTCCTATGGTCCACCCCGTATTGCCTCTTTTCTACTGGGCCTCCCTCCAAAACCTCCACACCCCCTGAAAAAAGCACTGAGAAACTACCACCAGCGCTTGAACCGGCATCATTTACAGTTTATTGAGGTAAGCCTACTTATAATCTATTCCTGTAAGGAATTCTATGACAACAATTTGAAAAAGGTATACAAGAGCTTCTTCATTGTGTATTATGTCTTAATCTAGTGGCAAGAACATCTCTCCCGCAAGCCTGACCCTAATGCCATGCCGCCTGGCGCAGCGGAGGCCTTGAAAGAAGCAGAAGCAACAATCGGTAATCGTCTTCTGAAGACACAACCAGACTACGTTGCACCACCTGGCCACAACACGCAACTGCGTGTCTGTCTTGCTAGGAAAGAGGTACCATGAGGACATCTTATAATATTAGATTTTTAGACCGATATCATCCAGAATATGCTTAATCAATTATTTTCTAGATATATGACACCAAAAGAGCCTTCAACGCCAAAGTACTGGAGTTACGTCAACATAAAGTTAGTTTGGTAGAGAAAATGAAACATATTGGTGAACGATTGAGTGAAATTAGATGCGAAATACCACCAAAAATGGTTAAGTCGCCACCCCAAATACCACATATCGATGAAGAACTGGAATTTCCCGAAAAACATCTCGAGGTGGTTTCCTAGTAATTTTCTCATATTTTTTGACTATTGTAAGACATTTCGCCATTATTTTATCGTCAATCGTCATCTTACAGATTAAGCCTGAGCCAGTGGTGATTCCTGTAAGAGGAGCAACAGCAAAAAAATCTCAAATCGCCCCGGACCGCAAGACTCTTTACCCCCAAGCGAGAGTACGACAGCCAAGAGTGACTAGATTTGTGCCAATTACAGGTAATAAAAAGTTAATAGAACCAGGCCTGTTCATCTCCGCGAGTTTACATCGAAAACAAAACACGCACGATGGCCCACCTACAGGATACTGTTTGACAAGGCCTCACGTATACGAGCGAACATTGACTCACGCACGCGTATTCTTGTGTATGATGGAAGAAAATAAAGAAAATTGTGTACTAAATACTGTGCAGTATTTAACTGCCTAAATAATAATAAAAATACAGAATGTACTTTTTTAAGTTGCCTCAAGACACTGAGAGGTAAATAAGTAGTTAATATTATTCATGATAGTTCATGCTAAATCATATATTTCCTCCGCCATTTTCCGCAGTTTGGCACCTCACGTCACATCATTTTACCGAAGTCAGCCAGCCCTATAGCTTCGGCGCAGTGCCGATCACTGACGTTTGTCAACAAAATGGTGCTTGACTCTTGAGACAGGCTAAATTACACCATATTATTGTTAATGACATTGAGCATACATTTTTTTAAATACCTTCGCGAAGTAAAACTTCTGTACGTAGTACTTATTATTATTCTGTGGTAGAACTAATAATAATTATATAGATGACCCACGCTGAACTGTCCCGCCAAACTCAATGACAGGGGGGCGCTACCATCGTTCAACTATATGGTTTCCAACATGGTAAAAATCGGAACTAGCGATTCGGTATTGACGGTGGCGCCCCACTGTCAATGTCATGCACAGGACAGTTCAGTATTTTGGAACTATACATATTTATGACTCTCAAACGTTAACTTTTTTAAACATTTCTTAGAAACACGACCACTTGCCGCTTCGTGGGAACTCCTGAAACCAAGACCAGACCTAGAATCAACAGAGATGGAAATTGAAATACGTGAGAGACGCATTGAAAGGTAGGTAACAGTTACGTTTCGTTTTACAGTAGTTTAATGAATGATTAAGATCTTTCAAATTTTATACCTATTTACCTTTTAAATGTCTATAGACATCTTTATGAACAAGACATGCTACTTGCTGATGCCGAAGTTTCTGTGCAACAGTTTGACTCACGTTTGAGACAATTGCAACGAGAACGTATACGTGTCCAAGTAAGTATTGTTACTAGTTATCATATTTTAGAATACCCTCAGATTATAGAAGAAAATTATTGAATGAAAATAAAAATATTGATTTATTTATTTTAGGAAAAAAGTCAGTTGTTAGAACTACACCTTTATCAGCTACACAGAGAAATGAACGTTTTAAATCGCTTTGAGGCACACGAAGATAGACTTGCTGAAAGAGTTTATGCCAAACTGATGCAGGTATTTTAGAGCAGTATTTAAATTTTCCCTGCAACCAAATATCCTCAGTACTATCTTTCCACCTAATAAATTTGCTAGGTCCGTGGTGTTCAAGATCAAATCCTAGATTGCGAGCACCGTATTGAAGAGCACCATGCTGAAAAGGAGCGTCTCGATGCTGAGTGTCAAGATCTACAGAGGCAGTTCAAGAAGCTCGTCCAAGACAACAAGTTTGCTGACTTCTTGCGTAGAATATTCAAGAAGAAGTATCGGCCACCGCGAGATCGTGACGAGGATGGTAAAGGGCGCCTTAATACGTCTAGCTTCTAGACTCTAGAACGCCAGAGATTTAATTGATGGGTAGATATTCTTACTAATATCACAAATTTGTATTCTAGAATCATCCGAGTCTGAAGAATCCTCATCATCCAGTGAGGAAGAAGACGAAGGCAGCATGGATAGCCGAGACATAGGCCCTATTCGTCTCGATCCCAACGTTTGTCCCGAAGGTTGCGATCCTGATATCTATAACAAGACCTACGACCTCAGGAACACAAGGTTCATCAGAGTCCAATAATTCTTAAATTCTCAAATTAATCTATTTGTCCATCCTAATTTTTTTTTTAAAAGAATCAGTAATAAGTAATAAGAAATAATTAGGTACGCCATAATATTACTTATTTAAATCCAGGCATCGGCATGAACAACAAATGATGGAGCAAGATCGATTGGTTGAACTACTCAGGAAGGATATTGAAGCCCATAATAAAATAAAGCGCAAGCTTTCTTTGCAGTTAGAGAAGAGGAAGAATGATCTAAGGGAATTCATGGTAAGATTGCACCCAAAGACGTATTACTTATCAAAAAATTGTAACGATCGCTTTTCAAAATTGCATTTTCTCTAACAACATCAATAAAATTTAGATGGAAAAACAAAGTTGCATGAACGACGTGGACCAAGTTGTGGTGCTCCGGTATGATCAGATACGGGCATCAGCTCTACGTGGATGCACCGGGCCCAAAGGCCTTTCGCACACTGTGGTATTCCCCGAGGCGATGCTAGCGAGGCTGCGACGTCGTGTGCTTGAACTACAGGACGAGATAAAGCAGCAGAAGCAGCGACAGAAGTAACATGCTTTTATTTGCTGAAATCATTAGAATCTTATAACTTGGCTGCAAAGCAAGCAAACGCTAAACATTTTCTTGCTAGCAATTAGTAGGTAAGATATTAAAAATAATTATTTATAGAGTAAACCGGACCCACCTGTTTCGCATGAACATCGACCTTCGCGCCATGGAGGCTGAAGCGGCAGAACTTCGCGCTAAAATGCGAGACGTGCTCACGCGCAAGTTAGGCAAGCCTCGCCGTGTGGACCGCACTCTCGATGAGCTGCTTCGGCAGATGGCGAGACGACACAAGTTCTCTGCCACCTTGGGCACGTTGCCGCAGATACTGAATCAGCTTCGCCAGTGGCGGGTAAATTGAATATTCATTCCAAAATGCTTTATACATTAATTTGTTGAAATTATAAATCGATGCAAGTGCTTCAGATTCCTAAACTGCTTCTACTTTTCGTTAAGCAAGCACAATAGTCTCGGTACATTCATGTTATTATTTCAGGAGCGTCACAGTGACCTAGAAAAGAAATACCTGAGCATTCTTTCACGGTATTCTGACCGTTTGCGTGTAGCTGCAGCATTGCAAGCGGATGTTTTACCACAAAAGGTAAAATAAATGCACATATTTTTATTATTGTCAAAAAATTGCTTAAAATAAATAGCTTACCTATAATAAATGTATAGCCCGACCAGGAACATAAAAACCCTCGCCATGTTGCGGAAAACTAATGGTAGGTACTAATTTCTTTTAATGGCAACAGTAACTGAAAACTTCATTGACATGTCACCTTGCATGTCAGCTATTGCTGTCAAAGTGTAAACAAACTGTATTTTAAATGTACGCAATTGATTTTGTGAATTAAATTGCTAAAATCTTTTTATAGTCGTGAAAGAAAAGTGGTTCACAATGTGTTAAAGTATTTGTCGAAGAGAAATACTAAGGGTTCGGACAATATTTTCATTGAATAATGTTTCCGACAAAGGTTGTCAAATTGACTGACATGTGTATCGCATAGTACAGTCCACTATGAAAATTAGCTGTGGTTTGTTTCAACTACCTATTTAAAAAAAATGACACTTTCTAAGTGTTGAATTTTATGGAATTTGGAAAGAAGTACCGAGTTTGAAGCGTTCATGAGCAAACATTGCAGTTGAATATTCAAGTTCTGAATTTGATTATTGATGAATAATAAAATAAATCCTACTAGCTCGATTGATGGTTTAATTAATTTATTTAAACCAGGTTACCTATAATAATATTTTTTCGTTAATTTATGAAAACATCAAAATTAGCCCGTAATCCTGAATCCTGATATTCCTGATACATAAAGTGAGCCTATTAATTTAACATGGGTACGACTGTACTCAGTGTTGCACTATCAAATGTAATTGACGCGCCTCTATGCCAGGGTTTTTATGTTCCTGGTCAGGCTATAAGGGAGAGTCCGCTAATTTGGACCAGTTTTTTTCAATCCCATTTTACACATAGTTTTCTTTTGTTTTTGCTAATGTCCATGGTATATAATAAAAGATACATTATTCAACTTACTATTTCATAAGTATTAATTAACATGATTGTTGTATATTTAGCACAAATCAACAAAGTACGAGTTCAGAGCTTCGGTCCAATTTAGCCAACCGGTTCGATAATTTGTACCACAGGGTTACTAAATTGGATTTCAATAAATTTCAAGCCTATAAAAAAACTATGGCAAAATATTATACGATACATTCTTAACAAATTAGGAAACGAAAAGGAACAGTAGTTAATAACATAGACAATCGATATTGTTTTTCACGTTATCACGATTTTGAGTACAAGTTTTGTAATTCCAATTATCGTAACGCACACTTCTACCTAATGTACTTTGCCAGTTTTTTGCTTTCATTTATTGTAAGTCAAACATAACTACGCTATTATAACTTCAAAATATGATTTACTAAAAAAAAATTCAAAATCCTTTGGTAAAGTTCCATACAACTTGATGTGGTACAATTTAGCCGACTAGGTGATAGTGCTTTTAAAAAATCGGTAAAAAATATAGCTTATAAATACCGAAAAATGTTTCAAATAATTGTAATCCACACTAATTTACGCTTCTAAATAATATATTAGAAACACCCTGTGATTAAATTTAACAAAATTACAAACTAAACATGTATTGTCAAAAGTTACTTGAAAACAATGAAAAAATACTTTTCAAAATAAAACACACGTGTTTGTTGTCACGGCAAAAACCACATGGCCGATATTAATTTATTTTAGTTGTGTATCGCTGAGTGTTGCAATTACAGACATTCAATAAATACTTTACGAAATATGGGGGTGGTACAATTTACCCGGCGGTACAATATACCGAACTCTCCCCTATGTACAGTCGACAGCACATCAAGCTATACATTTTCGTTGCAAACTCGCCTCTATCGCAACTACGTAAGATACCGCAGTGTTTACGTTGACGTGCTGTCGACCGTACCTACTAATAAATTATAATAACATTTTTCCTAATAGCCACCCAAGGATCCATCAGACATGGCTGGTGGATATACACCAGAACAGTACCAGCGCGACGTGGTGCGTCTACGTATAGTTCGTGCACAGCAAGTACAACAGATAAAGGTTTTCAACTCCCTAACTTTTTATTTCTTCTGATGAGTTTATGGGCAAGATTACGTCATAACGTATGAGCGTACTTTGATAGCAATTATAATGTTTTGTAGGCTCTACGTGACGAGATCCATGGTCTTCGGCTCAAGCCGCTATCGCAAAGGACTCCGCCCCCTACAGCCTCTCCACCAGAGTCCGATCGCTCTGATATCTATCTGTTCTTAGCCCCTCGGAATATGACGCAAACTAGGAAGAAATACTTCCCAATGTAGGTTTTTTATTCAGAGACTAGTCTTATTTCCTGTTGATTAACGCAAAACAAAGTTTAAAGAGCTATACAACTCTAGATAAAATAAAACTGTTCTTTCTTGTAGAACCCCTTTGGGGTCTCAAATTAAAATGGTGTACGATGTGAACATAATGAAGTTGCTTTACGACTGCCTCGATGCGATGCGCGTGTCACGAGACGACGCGGATGAACTATTGCGAGAACTCACCGCTCAGTTGCCTGACGTGATCTCTGGGTAAGAATCCTACAAAGATTACCTACCAACAATACCTTTTTTTGGTCACTCCTGCCTGTTAAGTAACAGGAATCGCACAAAAATGAATAAATTAATGTTTCAGGTCAAGATCCCGGTACGAAGTAGTTGACACCCTAGTACGTAAGTGGTTATTACGATACGGAGGCGACCCAAGTCAATATAAAAAGCAGACGCGAGCATTCGATGCGCTTGCCGCGCTGGCTGATCGCATCATTCGTCAACATGTAAGTCTAACTTCACAGTCAGTTCTCATTACCTATTTAGAAAGAAAGTACTGGCAATTTTACATAAATGAAAATCAGGTGGAAACAATGGAAGGCGCAGTCCCAGATGAGTCCAAGCAGGTGATGGAGTCTCTCGAAGAGGCGCTGAAGGAGGTTGCGGACGCCAAGGAGCCGCTACACGAACGTCTTGGGCCAGCACTTGCTGCTCTGCTACATACTGCAGAACTGGCTGATTTAGGTTCTATTTTCATTTTGCAACGTTTTACTAACTCCTAAGATTGAATCCTAATTATTGTGGTGATGATGATATTTTGAACATTTTACAGAAACTGAAGAGACGATGACGTCTTTAGTAAACTCTCTCATAGATGACGATCACCCCATCACAGCTGAATCTGTAGACCGCATCGATGTCTTCAACATCATGGAAGACATTAAAGGTATAATTAATTAAATATATTTTTAAAATTCTAATATTGTAATATTTGCTTTTTATTGATAAGAGCTTTTTCCTAGATTGCGGTGTTCAGTTACCACCTGAGGAAGTGGAGCATATTGTAAAGATTGCTATCGATTGTCTCCGAGCTCAAGTTGTGGAACCAGCAGAAGCAAAGCAGTTAGAAGAGGAAGTTAAGAAAGCAATGTCCATTGATATGGTAAACTAATTTAATTTATAGAAGAATTTGCTTATAAGTATCCAAAGTGGCAAGCAATGATTACCCCTAATGTTTTATATTATTATTTCAGACTTCGGTGACGTCAACTTCTCGTAGTGCTGGAACCGACAAGCAAAGTCGTCATCCCGATGAGGATCATGGGAGTGATTGAAATGGATAAAAATGACAAAGTAGCATAGTAATTTTATCTTTTACAAATACTTTCACATAAATGTATTCGACATTAGTTTTAATTTACTTAAATTAGAATATTACCTTCATAACCTTATGTATTGTCCTTATTAAAATATTATAATAACATTTTGACCTTAATTATTTTCACCTATTAGGTGTTAATTTATGCACATTTGTACACCTACGCCCTTAGATTATTAATCTAAGCCTACGCCATAGGACCATTGAAATAAAAACTAAAAACGGTCGTCTGCTGCACTCCTGCGATTGACCATAACCCTGTCTCATCTGTGACCTTAACAACTATAGTTCCAAAATACTGGACTGTCCTGTCGATGACATTGACAGTGGGGCGCCACCGTCAATACCGGATCGCTGGTTCAGATTTTTGCCATGTTGGAATCCATATAGTTGAACCACGGTAATAATATCATACAGTATTGTAACTACATATAAACCGACGAAACGCGAGTTTTCCTTCGAATTTCAAATCACGGGACGTGGTCGAGATCCAAAAGTTAGGGGTGTCGCGAATGTGCCGAACGGATGGCCTAGTGTTGAAAATGTCTAAGGTGGTTGAATTTGACTGACCGTCTTAAACGATCAAATTTGTCAAAAACTAGTCATTAACTGTCAGAAATGGTCATTTTCAGTCAGTTCGATTTGAAATGAAAATGAAAATAGTAGATTCAAAATTATTTTAGTATATTTTTCAAAATTAAATCTACTAATCACAAAACAATACGCATTTTTATCCTATTCCATTCACAAAGTATTTTGTTTGTCTAAATAAAAGAAAAATTACAATCACAAAACTAGATAGAAATTCTTAGTGGACAGATGTAATTTGAATGGGTACTATAGGTGAGCAGCCCTATCGCATGTTGTCATACCGTGACGTACCGCGGGGCTGTTGACATTTATTTCAAAAATATGGCCGAGTTAGAATACTGTATAGATAGTATTACCGTGGTTGAACGATGGTAGCACCCCCCTGTCATTGAGTTTGGCGGGACAGTTCAGCGTGGGTCATCTATACGTATAATTCTGTGCCATAACCATGACTGCCATGACTAAATAAAATAACCGTAAACGGAAACAGAAAACCGGTTTTAATTCCTATAATAAACAGTTACATCACTACTATTTCACAGATAATAAGAAATAATTGTCTATGATTGAAATGTGTGATTTTTTTAGTCTGTGGCATTTGGCATAATCTGTGCAGTGCAGTTGATGAGTTGATTGACTTTTTACTCGCGAGTTTTTTCTAAGTTTTCACAATAATTCTTTAATATAAATTGTACCAACGAAAATAATCACAAAAGCAGATCTCAATGTACAAATTACAAACGATTGGATTCTAGTTTTACATAAGTTGGTGTGTTTTTGTAAATAAGTCGGAGATTGGTGTCAGTTCATTTCACAATGATCAATGTTGTGTTGTTGTATCTTCGTGGTGATAAATTTATTCTAAGGGATCCTAAATAATGTGTAGCTAGCGAAGTCTTTATACTATTCATGCTGCCTCGTCTTAAAAGTATGCAAAGCAAATAATGCCATGTACGCTCCAGATCACAGAAGGAAGGAAGCCAGAGATGTTATGTACCGTAGCAATTCTAGCCTCGACTTGATTTATAGTGATCAGCCATCGAGTAACGGCCTACGTAGAGAATATGGAAGTCACGGTTCAATCGACGTGATTGGGGGAGGCTGCGAACGGCTACCTGCGATGGTGCACAATTACAACGTAGTTTCTACGTCAGACAAGCCTCCTGGGATAGCGCGCGCGACTGACCGCCTCACCGATGTACTCAGTAGCGACCACGCAGACGGCCCACAGCCTCGTACGAGTGCAAGTCCCAAACCCCGTCTCAAACTCAACAAACTATGGGGTGGTCAAACACCTGCTATATCACGACAAACACTTGACGAAGGAGCCATTTCGGCTCTCACTGAATGTACCAAAAGAAAGCAATTTGCTCATTATGACTGTCAGTCACTTATGGCCAACTTAAGTTATGCAGCGGAGATCAGAGGTGCATTGCTTAGTAGACGTCGCAACACTACCACCGGAGCTTCAGCTGCGTCCTTGCTGGCAACAAAAGGTTTACCACCAGGTGAAGATTCAGTACCTGATACTGGAGATGGAAGATCAAATGAACTGCTTGAAAGCTGTCCATTCTTTAGAAATGAGTTGGGAGGTAAGACATTATAAATTTTATTATTTTACACAAAAAATATCATTGTAATTATTTTGTTCATTCCATTCATTGTGGAATACTTTGGGGGAGGCCTTTATCCAGCAGTTGAAGTCATTTGGCTAAAACAAACGAACAAATGAATTATTTAGGTACTAAGACTTAACTAAAGTAAAATAACCAGGTAAATATAAGATTTTAACTAGGTGCTAAGGTATTGGCGGTACCAAAACTATCCAGAACATCTGTGAATGTGCAATTGTGTTTATTATGAAGAAAATTAATAAACACTTACCTATCTGCTAACTGTCCTCTCAGTGACATAATAATAACGTAGAATAGAATGGGCCAATAACATTTCGAGATAGACAATTTGTTATTATTATGTATACTTGTATTTGTAACTACAGTAGAATCCCGATTATCCGGATCAATTAAAACCAGGGGTAGGGGGTTCCGGATAATTGATTTCAAAGTAAAATCAATCAATAATTAACTTTTTACAATAGAAAGGGTTTTCAATACATCATTTTAGAGTCTAAAAATCTAAATTTTAGACCATTGGTCATCCATTTCTTTTAACAATGAACTAAGAAGACGCCCGTACCATGTTACGGTGGCGGCGCCTTCGGTTTTTATGGGTCCAGACCCGGAATCGGTAATTAGAAACTGTGAAGAATGAGTCCGGATAATCGAGATTCTACTGTACATACAGGCTACCTATTTGATGAATAACAGCAATAGCTGTGATTGTTCTATAAAGCATACATACATTTTAACATTATATTTAACAATAAAAATTAGCTTCATACAGGTATTCAATATCTCTTTAATTAAAATACATTCATCCTACACAACAATACTGATAATTAATTCAATAAAAAAAATCATACACTTTGTGGTATATATTATCTAATGCTGGTTTGTAAATAACTGGCATATAAACAATTCTATTTTCCTTTAACCATGCTAATCTACTATAGAATTGCCATTGTGTCACCTGTGAATAAGGTGACATACAAATTCAGCTCTCACATTATTATTGTTCTTGGAGCATCCATTATTATTTATGACTAATATGCTGAATACTATTGGTATACAGTTTTCTTGTATCAAACATGAGGTTATTTACTGAGAAAGGTATTGTTCATTCTAAAGATAGGTATGAACATATTTTATGAATAACATTGATGTACTATGTGGCCATATTAGGTAGGTATACACATTTCAACAAAAAATTATGATATCTCCTACATATAATTCATGATATTATTTGAAAAACTATGGAAGGTCAGGGAATGTTTAAATATTTTTTTAGACTATAACTTGGAAACTATCAAAAAATTATTGATGTTCAAAACTTTACTGTGACTCCATTGTCTTATTCTTTGACTTTTGTCACATAATTGTACAGCAATGCTTCATTACACCTCAGACCATTAATATTTCCTACTTAAATTGTCTTCACAAAATTTATTTGATTGGACTATGAATGTACATATTTTAAATGAAAACAAAATGAGTAGTAGCACATAAAAACCGGAAAACATATCAATTAATTTAATTTCAATTTAAAAATCAATTGTAATAAGCATTATTATTTATTTGTCAGCAATTCTATTTTAGATTTATTAGGTTTCATTAATTGATAACTCATTAAAATTATTCTGCAATTTCAATATTTTACTATTTTCTTTAAATCTTTATAATAATAGTACCTCACTTAATTCAAACTTGTGTAATTACTATAATCCATGTCCATAGACTGTGCGAAATGTGATCAAGATTTCTTAGGAATGAAGTAATTGCACTTTNCCTCAGCTGCGTCCTTGCTGGCAACAAAAGGTTTACCACCAGGTGAAGATGCTGTACCTGATACTGGAGATGGAAGATCAAATGAACTGCTTGAAAGCTGCCCATTCTTTAGAAATGAGTTGGGAGGTAAGACATTATCATTTTTATTATTTTACACGCTTTTCTGAGCCCTTGGAAGACTTTGAAATTTCAGAATGTCTTGAAAATTATCATTGTAATTATTTAGTTCATTCCGGTCCTTGTGGAAAACCTTGGTGGAGGCCTTTCCCCAGCAGTTGACGTCATTTGGCTGAAACGAACGAACAAATGAATTATTTAGGTACTAAGACTTATCTAAAGTAAAATAACCAGGTAAGTATAAGATTTTAACTACGCTTACCTAAGTTAAAGGTATTGGCGATTCCAAAACTATCCAGAACACCTGTGAACCTGCAAATGTGTTTATTATGAAGAAAATTAATAAACACTTATCTGCTAAATGTCCTCTCAATGACATAATAATAACGTAGATTAGAATGAGCCAATAACATTTTGAGATAGACAACTTTGTTTTTATTATTTTTACTTTATTTGTAACTACATTATGTACAAGCTACCTATTTGATGAATAATAGCAATAGCTGTGATTGTTCTATAAGGCATACATACATTTTAACATTATATGTAACAATAAAAATTAGCTTCGTACAGGTATTCAATATCTCTTTAATTAAAATACATTTATCCTACACAAAAATACTGATAATTAATTCAGTAAAAAATACATTTTGTGGTATGCTGGTTTGTAAATAACTGGCATATAAACAATATAATGTGTCATACACAATACTATTTTCCTTTAACCATGCTAATCTTCTATAGAATTGCCATTGTGTCACCTGTGAATAAGGTGACATACAAATTCAGCTCTCACATTATTATTGTTCTTGGAGCATCCATTATTATTTATGACTAATATGCTGAATACTATTGGTATACAGTTTTCTTGTATCAAACATGATGTTATTTACTGAGAAAGGTATTGTTCATTCTAAAGATAGGTATGAACATATGAATAACATTGATGTACCTATGTGGCCATATTATACACATTTAAATTATGGTATCTCCTACATAATTATTTGAAAAATTAAGAAAGGTCAGGGAATGTTTAAATATTTTTAGACTATAACTTGGAAACTATCAAAAAATTCTTGATGTTCAAACTTTACTGTGACTCCATTGTATTATTATTTGACTTTTGTCACATAATTGTACAGCAATGCTTCATTACACCTCAGACCGTTAATATTTCCTACTTCAATTATTGTCTCCACAAAATTTATTTGATTTGGCTATGAATGTAACATATTTTAAATGAAAACAAAATGAGCAGTAGCACATAAAAACCGGAAAACATATCAATTAATTTCATTTCAATTTAAAAATCAATTGTAATAAGCATTATTATTTATTTGTCAGCAATTCAATTTTATATTTATTAGGTTTCATTAATTAATAACTCATTAAAATTATTCTGCAATTTCAATATTTTACTATTTTCTTTAAATGTTTATAATAATAGTACCTCACTTAATCCAAACTTGTGTAATTACTATAATCCATGTCCATAGACTGTGCAAAATGTGATCAAGATTTCTTAGGAATGAAGTAATTGCACTTTCATTTCTATCATCATTGATAAATCAGCTTATGTGAGTTAATGTGGCTAACATTCCACACAGTTAAGAATGATTCACAACCAAGCACATTATGGATTTAATTAAACGTTAGGAAAACACACTGCTACTAATCTGGTATTGTAGATAATTAAACCAGCTTTTGCTCCCGGTTTCGCGCGTTGGTTTCGTTCAGAAAGACTTTTAAAAATCGGGATAAACTATCCCACATTTTTCCTAGACTCCAACCTGATTCACTGAATTAAGTGTGAAAAGGTAACAGACAGACAAAATTATTTCATTTATAATATTGAGTATGGATGGTTGAAACAGTGATTTAGTAACTTCCTACTGAAAAGTTATAATTATTTCTGTTTGTCTAATCTACATTTAGTACTTTTTCCGCACGATTCGAAAAGAAATTCATCGGCGTAATCTGATGCACAATTTTGTATTTTTCTTAGGTGAAGAAGAGCGTTGTGTGTCGCTGTGCTGGAGAACCGCTCGTGGTGCCATACCCGGCCAGACCGGAGGGTGGCACCGGCCCCGCGCCGCTTACGGGCTCTCAGTACTGGAGTTTCCGCCGGGACACACCCATTGGCGACACGGCTGCCCCTTCGCCAGGGTCCTCACGCCACTGCCTGTTGAGAGCCAAGACTTAGGCGCGTTATATTATAGGAACTATTTCTATAATCAACGTAAGTATTTTTTACAAAGTACCTATGCATTTTGCACGCGCTTATCCTCCTTTCAATAACCAGGAAAAAAAAACTGTCCCATGTTTTTCCCTGGAACCCAAGCTATATCCATACTAAGTCTAATTTATTTTTGTAGCTCACCAAAACTGGTTTGGCATGGACGAAAGTCTAGGACCTATAGCCATTTCCATAAAAAAAGAACGTGTGGAATTACGTAGAGGTGGTGGCGACGCGTCTGTGCCGGCTTCCCAGCTCGCCTGGCAGTACCGGCTCATAATACGAACTTCGGAGTTGCTGACTCTTCGGGGATCTGTGCTTGAAGATGCGCTGCCTACCGTAAAGCCAAGCAACAACAGCGCTACATACTGCACGAAAGAGGTTTTGGACTATGTCGCACCTGAAATGCAGTTGGGTTGTTTGAGGTAAGAAATAAAAAAATACAGTTTGATCCAACTTTTTGCGGTATTGATCGGTTTGTTAAATGACAAAATGTACCTTTTCAGGTTAGGTGTACCTAACAGTGGAGCAGAGGAACAGCTACTTCGGCTGGACGAACAATGCGTAACCCGACACTACAAAGTCGGCGTTATGTATTGCAAAAGCGGCCAAGCTACCGAAGAAGAAATGTATAACAACCAGGAAGCGGGTCCCGCTTTCGTCGAATTCCTGCAAATGTTAGGACAGACCGTTCGATTAAAAGACTTTGAGAAATATAAAGCGGGTCTCGACAATCGCACCGATTCAACAGGCCTCTATTCAGTGTATACGACATACCAGGGTTGTGAGATAATGTTTCACGTTTCGACAATGCTTCCATATACACCACATAATAGACAGCAGTTGTTGAGAAAGCGACATATAGGCAACGACATAGTAACTATTGTCTTCCAAGAACCAGGTGCTGCGCCATTTACGCCGCGGAATATTCGCTCTCAATTCCAACACGTTTTTGTTGTGGTTCGAGCGATAGATCCGTGCACGGAGAACACGCATTACAGTATAGCTGTAAGTCGTGCAAAAGAAGTGCCTTTATTTGGGCCTCCAATCAAAGATGGAGCAGTGTATCCAAAGGGTGAAGCTTTCACTGATTTACTTTTAAGTAAGGTAAGTCATCGTATCTACACAGTTTCAAAAATGCATGATGAACATAAAATAAATTATTATTTTGACGATAATTAATATTTTTTCAGGTAATTAATGGCGAGAATGCAGCAATTCAGTCGCCAAAATTCTGTACAATGGCCACACGTACACGACAGGAATATTTAAAAGATTTGTCGAAAAACTACGTGACGGCTACAACAGTGGAAACAGGCCAAAAATTTTGTAAGTACATAATTATTTATATTATCAATCTTTATTTAAGATAAATTTATATAATACCTAGGTTGTAATATTAATAATAAAAAAATAACAACACATTTTCATATTCCTTCGCAGCTATATTTTCATCACTGTTGATGAAAAGCGGGAACAACTCCAACAACAATACGGTTTTGCCGCGTGTTGAGAATTGCACTACCGATGTCTTAGTTGGCGGTGCACTGTGTTTTCACGTAAGTTTACCAGACTTGTTTTGCTCTAAAACCTTATTTAATTGGATAATTATTATTCTACTTACTATTTATATTTTAGGTACAAGTCCAGGATGAAGGTGCCGGCGGCACGTTATTAGATTGCATGATGGGCGTCTCGGCCGATAGCGTTGTGTTAGTCGAAGACAGCACTCGACAGATCATCTTGGTTTTGCCGACCAATTCTTTACTGGGTAAGTTTGTTTGATTCGATTTTTCCAAAGTCAAAAATGTGTTTATTTGTATAGATTGTTAAAATAGTATCTAAAAATTGTAGTCTTAAAAATAATAAAAGACTTATAGAAAACCGTTTTGAACTTAAGCGCTCTAAAACTCGCGCGGGCGCTCGTACGCGTGTCAGTATCGAAAAATAGTATGAGTAGCGCACTATGGCGCAGACGCCGTAGGTAACCCGTAGGGTTTCCACAAACGCTGCGTGGGGCAGCGAGTTCATTAAAAGGCACCCGCCGCCATACGCCCTCGTCGAACATCTGGAACGGGCGCCAACCAACGCTTCGAGACCTACTTTTGGCAGATGATGCTAAATAACGTTGATGACTTCAGGCTGGGTGGTGAGCGGCGGCTGGACGCGCGTGTACTACCACCGCGGCGAGAGCGTGCGCGTGCGCGGCGGCCACGACGCGCTGCTGCGGCGCCTGGCCAGCGTGGCGCCGCCGCACGCGCGCGCGCTGCACGAGCTCACGCTGGAGCGCGGCGCCGCCTCGCAGCTGGGTACGTAGTGCTAGTGTCGTCATCAGCAGTGTACTGCCGCCGCGGGCACGACGCGCTGCTGCGGCGCCTGGCCAGCGTGGCGCCGCCGCACGCGCGCGCGCTGCACGAGCTCACGCTGGAGCGCGGCGCCGCCTCGCAGCTGGGTACGTAGTGCTAGTGTCGTCATCAGCAGTGTACTGCCGCCGCGGGCACGACGCGCTGCTGCGGCGCCTGGCCAGCGTGGCGCCGCCGCACGCGCGCGCGCTGCACGAGCTCACGCTGGAGCGCGGCGCCGCCTCGCAGCTGGGTACGTAGTGCTAGTGTCGTCATCAGCAGTGTACTGCCGCCGCGGGCACGACGCGCTGCTGCGGCGCCTGGCCAGCGTGGCGCCGCCGCACGCGCGCGCGCTGCACGAGCTCACGCTGGAGCGCGGCGCCGCCTCGCAGCTGGGTACGTAGTGCTAGTGTCGTCATCAGCAGTGTACTGCCGCCGCGGGCACGACGCGCTGCTGCGGCGCCTGGCCAGCGTGGCGCCGCCGCACGCGCGCGCGCTGCACGAGCTCACGCTGGAGCGCGGCGCCGCCTCGCAGCTGGGTACGTAGTGCTAGTGTCGTCATCAGCAGTGTACTGCCGCCGCGGGCACGACGCGCTGCTGCGGCGCCTGGCCAGCGTGGCGCCGCCGCACGCGCGCGCGCTGCACGAGCTCACGCTGGAGCGCGGCGCCGCCTCGCAGCTGGGTACGTAGTGCTAGTGTCGTCATCAGCAGTGTACTGCCGCCGCGGGCACGACGCGCTGCTGCGGCGCCTGGCCAGCGTGGCGTGATCTTACCCATGGGTGATCAAAAGACACCAAAATGTCTCCTGGAATCCACTTTGATCACCTGGGTGATCAAATCCTGGTGATCAAAGTGGAATAGACCGTCACTAATGACGCGTCATCATCAAAAACAACAGCCCTTAAAAGTCATTTGCAAGACATAGGCCACCCTCATAGGATGTGCTAATATTTTGCAACCACTTTTTAGATTTCCTGGCTATAGGTGGCTTAACTCAGTCAGTGCTTGAGGTATGGGAGCGGCACGGGCGGGAGGATGTTTCTGTGACGTCGTACGTCAACGAATGTGCTTCTGACTTGTATACTCTGTCACGTCATATGTTACTATTATAATGTCACCCCTACTGTGTAGTAGTCATGTAGTAGTGTGCTATGTGCAGTAGTCGTCATCGTCATAATCATCACCAGCTTTAGCGTGGCCTTAGCATTCTAGGGAGAAGTTCCTTATCGAAGTTGCAGGACACAAGATACACTCTCAGAATGTTTTGCAACCATTTCTGTAGGTTTAAGAACCTACCTCTAAGACACCTACGATGACTCGTATAAATAAGATCCCAAAAAATTCTGACAAGTCAAAAAGAATTTACTTAACAAATATACCGAGGTAGAAATTAAAATGAAAACAAATCTGTTTGATGTTGCTGATGTCGCGTAACGGAAGGCCATTCATTTTCTAAATAGTCCACTTATGTGTAGAAATATCTGTTGACTTTATTAATGAAACAGTTGAATAACCGTGATTTAACAACAAATGGAGATAAGAATAGAATTTGGAAAATCAATTTCTTATAGGCCATTTTCAGAGCACACATGGCGCACATAAACAACATTCTTTCTACAAAAAATGTTGAATGTGGTCGATGTTTTTGTTGATTGTGTAGGACATTTTTTGTAATGACATGATGATTGTAGGGCAAAACACGCGCTGGAAACCCGGCGTTATACTTGAAACTAAATAATTTGATACCTTTTTGATTACGTTTCAACAAAACATACAATCGTTCCAGGATTCCACGTCCAACCGGACGGCTTGGTGACGGCGGTAGAGGGCGGCGGGTGCGCGGCGCGCGCCGGCATCAGGCGCGGCGCGCGACTGCTGGAAGTGTGCCGCGCGGCCGTGGTGGCTCTACACCACGACCAGCTGGTCGACTTGCTTAAGACCTCGGATCCAGTTACGGTAAGTTTGATTTTTTTTAGAATACTAGTAATTTGTAAGTCCCGTTAGGCCCTCGTACTAAGCTAAATATGCTTGTGTTACGAGTGGGCTCACCTCAATAGTCGTGAGGCGGCAGGATTCGAACCCAAGTCGGATGTCGGCCAGTCCGACCCCTTTACCGTTCGGCTATAGTGGTTTCAAAAAGTTGTGGGCAGAATTCAAATGCAGCTCGGTTTAAGCGGTGTGTTAGGAGATAACTGTATATGCAGCGAGCACATGGTCTTGCATCGTTATGAATTCGCAATATTTGTTTGGTGTATGAATTAAACTGATTAATTTCTGTCCACCCAGGTGGCAGTAACGTTCGCGTCGAGCAACCGCTGCGGCTGCGAATGCACCAGTCCAGTGGCGGGTGCGAACGACAGCGTGGTCGCGCGCGCCGACGCGCAGCAGCCGGCCCGCGCCCGCCGCGCGCCGCCCGCGCACTCGCCGCCGCGCTCCGACAGCTCCGGCTACGGAACTGGTGAGTGAGAGCAACTATAGCCTGGTCTGCGAGCACGTAGAATTTTGTCCAATGACCCCAAGCTACCCATCCTTATCGCTCGCGCGTAATTATGTTGCTGTCGCGACTGTGCGACGGACGCCCGCAGTGAGTGGTGCCCGGGTTTTAGTCGCGCGAAAGTAGTTTGCGTCGCGCAATCGCTGCGATTGCGAATGCGTGAGTCTAGTGGCGACTTACTCAAGACATGAAGGTTTGCGAACGAATGCCTCAGTTGCGAAGACACTCATAGGAGAACGAGAAGCGGTCACATGACTATTTATGTTTGAATAAAGGTTAGGTACAGCGTCGTTGCCATATCCACTACTCTATTTTCATTTGTTTTCAGAGATTCCCAAAGTATGCGTTAGTTTGGCCTAGCTAATGAGTCGGTTGGGAACTCTTGGCCCATAATTTTACTTACGCATTTACGCATACAGAATTCGCCACTAAATAAATATTTATTTATTTAAGGAGAGTACACAGCACAATATCAATTTATATTACAATGTGTTTTAGTGAGATTTTGTAGGCCAATTATGACTACCCAACATTTAAAATTTGTACATAATTTATGTAAAATATTTTTTATCGTTACTTGATGATTTTTGCAAAATGTTTGATCCCAAGCCGTACACACGGCCACACTGTTAACTATCCATTACCGTTTTTGCTCTCGCTCTAATCAAATGGTGATTCTTTGCGATAGTACGAGACGACATGACAGGCAATGGATAGTTAACACTGTTGCCGATGGTACAGTCTCTGTCAACATTTCATCTTAACTGACAGTTAAATGTTTGCAACAATATTTCTGTTAGATGTAGGGTAGGTATACTCAACATTGATGAAACAAACGCTGGCCGTAACAGCGTATTACACTTGAAAATTTCGACGGGTTCATCCAGTGTCTAAGTAGCTCAGTTGGAAGAGCAGTCGCCCGGCAAGCGGAAGGTCGTGGGTTCAATTCCCGCCTTAGGCAGTTCGATTTTTTCAAGTTATTTATAATTTTCAAATTAGTCTCTGTCAAGTTGTATGTGTGGCAGGCGGGTCGGGGCGCAGCGCGCGGCGCTCGCCGCAGTCGTCGCCGGTGTCGGAGGCGGTGCTGCGGCGGCGCTCGCAGGACGACTCGCCGCGCCACCTGCGCGCGCGCCGCGACAACACCACCTCGCTCACGGTAATCAACCATCGTTCGTTCGTTTCAGTGCCGTGTGTGGGGACGGCCGTAAAGAATACCATTCCCCACCGCCAACAGGAGGCATGTCGTAAGAGGCGACTAAATCCTGTAGCACGAGATGGGCAGCAGCGTCTAGGTGCGAAACCTTATAAAAAAACTGCGCTCGCCAACCCGCCTGCCAAGCGTGGCGAGTACTGGCAACTCCCCCCCCTGATGAACGGCAGAGCTAAAACCAGGCCCCCAGTCTCCGGCAGCCCCGTTGTTCCTGACTACGGTAGCGGTTGGGGTGACGACGGGGCGGGGGGTGCTAAGAATCCCCGGAGGAGGAATAGCTACCACCACAAACGACAACTGGCCCTCGTAACACACAACATCCGCACCCTGAGGTCCGACGAAAAGATTATAGAGCTGGAAGATGAATTAAGTAGGTTGCGATGGAGTATTATAGGGCTATCGGAAGTCCGACGAGAGGGCGAGGACACGATAACCCTGAAATCCGGCAACCTGCTTTACTACCGGGAGGGCGAACAACTGTCCCAAGGTGGTGTCGGGTTTCTCGTCCACAAGTCCCTCATTAACAACATCATTACCATCGGAAGTGTGTCGAGCAGGGTTGCATACCTGATACTCAGAGTATCCAAAAGGTACTCGTTGAAGGTAATCCAGGTATACGCACCGACCTCTACACACCCAGATGAAGAAGTGGAAGCTATGTATGAGGACATAAGTAGGGCCATACATGCAACTAAAACCCACTTCAATGTCGTTATGGGGGACTTCAACGCTAAACTGGGCATGCGAGGTGATGATGAGCTGAGAGTGGGGCAATATGGATATGGGCGACGGAACCCCAGGGGACAGAGGCTGGCCGAGTTCCTGGAAAAGGAGAATCTCTATGCGATGAACTCCTTCTTTCAGAAGCCGCCTCACAGGAAGTGGACCTGGATGAGTCCCGATGGTTCCACGAGAAATGAGATCGACTTCATTATGACCACAAAGCGACGAATGTTTAGCGATGTCTCCGTGATCAACAGGGTGAAAACCGGTAGTGATCACCGGATAGNCGTGCCCCCCACTTTGGGAACCTATGGCCTACCCCAAGGCTTTCCATAATGAACGGTCCTGCGCTGCCCGCATCCAGGTTCTTCCCGCGACCTTTACCGATCGTCGGTCCACGTAGTAGGAAGCCTGCCCGCGCTACGTCTTTCAGCCCATGGAACCATTATTCTTATCAACTCCTTTTAACATCTCCGCTGCATGAGCACGACCCTCACATATACCAGTGTGTTTACATAGTGGATTTTGGGCTGTTCTCCCTACGCTGGCATTTTTGCCCATTAGTTCCCTTTTAAGAATATTTCTTTGCCATTTCTTTAAAGCGGTGTAGGCGTAGGACGTCCACCCACTTTGTGGATCGATGACCTCGTAAAACCGGTCAATATGGAAATCATTGTGGGAGGCGGATGTTCAGCAGTGAACGCCCTAAGGCCGAAATGAATGATGATGATGATATTCTTTCAAGGTTTTAACAGTTGTCGAAAGATTGAAACATACAGAAGAATATAATTACTCAAAAATTTAATTTTAAACTGGTTCCAATCCCAAAGCTAAACCGATCAAAATAAAATCTTGTGTAAATGATAACACTGAAATTTGGAATTTGAACCCTTACCCAGGAGGAGCTGATGCGTTTGATGGACGCCGAGTTGGGAAGTGGGCGTGCACCCGAGGGGGGCGTGGGAGGGGGCGGGGGCGGTCCCGCGACGGGCGCGCCGCCGCCGCTGCCGCTGCCCGACGCGTCTGCGCTGGACTGGGCCACTTTAGTGCACACCGCCACTCGCGCTATGCTTCAGGTAAAATGATTTTTTTTTTCAGGTTTGGCTACGTGTGGTTTGTACACATAGCCAGTGTCAAGTATTTATNTTATTTTCTTTATTAGAAAATAATTTATATTACAAAATTTATCACCACCTGTTTACCGTTAACCACTTCACTGTGACGTCACATATCTTGAGAACTATCTAATGAAATTTAATCTTTTTTATATCATCCCCGCCCGCACCCCGCACGGTCCCCGTTCTCGTCCCGCCCCTGTGCCCCCGCGTTCCGCAGGCGAGGTCTCATTTAACCGGTCATACTATAGGGTTACAGCTAAGCCTCGTTACTCCTTTGTGCGGATTTTCTCGCATTCCCTTGCGTTACTTTGTTTCTTTATAATACGTCACACTTACTCGAGATTACTCTAAGCTCGCCGGAGACGTATAGGGTCTTAATATGGGAATCCCATCAAAAACAATGCTTGTCAAAAAAACCAAGTCTCGCAACTCAGTTGTTCTACGGTAAAAAGTTGTGAGATCCATGTAGTTAATACCAAGTCCAGGCCAGGAAATCTTTAACGTTTTACATAAATTATTGACTTGGCCATCGCACTAAATAATTTAATTTACACGTGTTTTCATGCGATGGCCAAGTCAATATATTTATGTAAAACGTTAAAGATTTCCTAGGGTTTGCTCCCGGGAAATCCCGGTACTCATTTTTCCCGGGAATTCCCGATAATCTAATCCTTTATCTAGTTCCGGTACTGACGATGCAATTCCCGGGACTTTCGGTACTTTCGGGACTTCAATAATTTATTTTTAATATCTAACAATTTTTTGACTAGATGCCATCATCTTTTTACGTACACACTATCAACAAATGAAAAAATATTAATACTTAATGTTCCTAATTCATTACTATCTTTTTAAGACTGATTGTTTTATCTGATTGTACTTAGATACTACTTATTATTTCTTTCAACAGCGTGTTTTTTTATAAACCTAATTTAGTTAATTTATGTTTTGTCCCTAAGAGTAGGCGCACACCGTTGATTTTTCGTCGGCCGATAGTTTAGTCGGGCAGTTGATCAGTATGGGCATGTATGGGAGTGCGCACACTTCATATTGGCCGATTCTTCATACAAATTAAAATCGGGCACAACTATCGGCCAACTAAAAATCAACGGTGTGCGCCTACTCTAACTCTTGTCGCTGCCAGTATTTGACATTGAAAGAAAGTGAGAAAACATATTTCAACTAAAATAGGTTGATTAAACGATTGTTGCTTTTTATGAATATGTCGGTTATGATTTTTAATAGGCATTTATAACTAGTTTTGTCGTGTTGTGTAACTGTTTGGACTGATTTATTATTAAGGTAACAAACCAATTGAACTGAACAGAAAAGTTTAATATTTTTGTTAACTTATTTACATTTTTATTAAAATTACGTACAAATTAGGTAATTTGTTTTAATAAATAATAACCATTTACGTGGGTACCGAAATTCCCGAATTTCCCGGTTTTCCCGGTACTGGCTTAGACCTGGTACCGGGAATTCAGTAACACTCCTTAGTACCGGGACTTGCAACCCCTACCTGGGGGGCGTGCCCCTCACTTTGGCTTTCCATAATGAACGGTCCTGCGCTGCCCGCATCCAGGTTCTTCCCGCGACCTTTACCGATCGTCGGTCCACGTAGTAGGAGGCCTGCCCGCGCTACGTCTTTCAGCCCATGGAACCATTATTCTTATCGACTCCTTTTAACATCTCCGCTGCAGGAACACGACCCTCACATCTACCAGAGGATTTCCAAATAGAGGATTTTGGGCTACTCTTCCCACATTAGTTCCCTTTTAAGAATATTTCTTTGCCATTTCTTTAAAGCGGTGTAGGACGTCCACCCTCTATGTGGATCGATGACCGCTAGATGCAGGCCGTCATCAACCGGTCAATATGGAAATCGTGGGAGGCGGATGTACAGCACTGAACGCCCTACGGCTGAAATGAATGATGATGATGATATTCTTTCAAGGTTTTAACAGTTGTCGAAAGATTGAAACATACAGAAGAATATATTACTCAAAAATGTAATTTTAAACAGGTTCCAATCCCAAACCTAAACCGATCAAAATGAAATCTTGTGTAAATGATAACACTGAAATTTTGAATTTGAACCGTTACCCAGGAGGAGCTGATGCGTTTGATGGACGCCGAGTTGGGAAGTGGGCGTGCACCCGATGGCGGGGGTGCGACGGGCGCGCCGCCGCCGCTGCCGCTGCCCGACGCGTCTGCGCTGGACTGGGCCACTTTAGTGCACACCGCCACTCGCGCTATGCTTCAGGTAAAATGATTTTTTTTTTTTTCAGGTTTGGCTTCGTGTGGTTTGTACACATAGCCAGTGTCAAGTATTTATCTTATCTTCTATATATATATATATAAAAGAAAGTCGTGTTAGTTACTCCACTTATAACTCAAGAACGGATGAACCGATTTAGCTGAAAATTGTCAGGGAGGTAGTTTAGAGTCAGGAGAAGGACATAGGATACTTTTTATCCCGTTCGAAATAAAAAAAAAGTCTGCTTATTTATTGCCATTAAGGCGGAACAAAGTTCAAGGGTCAGCTAGTCTATCTATAAAAGCGAAAGGTCACTGATTGACTGATGCTCGTTTTCACCATCAATCCCTAATTTTTAAGTACCCCTATGTAAACAAACTCCTGTTATTTGTTACCATAGGGGTCACTTAAAAATTAGGGATTGATGGTGAAAACGAGCATGACTCACTCATCACGAAATCTCAGAAACTACAAGTGCTAGAAGTCTCAAATTTTGCATGGGGGTTCCTTTTAGAACGTATGTGCTCACTAAGATGGTATTTTGCTAAATTCAACCCCCAAGGGGGTTAAACGTGATCCACGGGTACGAAGTCGCAGGCGGCCGCTAGTTCAAGTATAAAATAGAATTCAATTCATGAAATAATGATAGATGAGATTCCATAATGTTTCAGTAAAGATGTAGCACTTTACTGAAACCTGACACGGACTTATTGAGAAAACTTGAAAAGTGATGTTGCACAGTTTTGTTTCATTTGCCTACCTATACTTATGCACGTTCACGAACTTTAATAATCCACCATTATTTACACATGAATAGTCAACTAAACACAAATTTTACAAAATAAAACAAAATTGCTATATATGGCACTTTACTTTCTCGCCAAGAACAGGTAAAATGATAAATAGAACATTGACGCCAGTAAATGTGTCATTTAAGATAACATCGTATTCGACATACTCGTAACATAGGTCGATCGTTTTCAGATCTGTGAGGAACATCAATATCCATCCATGGACAACACTGAATCCTCCTTGGAAGCAATGACAAATGATCCTGTCCATGATTCTTGGTCTGAATTAACGGTAAGCTTGAATTTGCATTTACTTATAAAATACAATATTTTAGCACATCAATGTGAAGTTTAAATATATATTTTTTTATTTCTAAATATTTTACAAAAAAGTCTTTAATAATGAGAGTATTGTGTGTACCACCTTCCAAGGGAACAGAAAAACAGTGACATCACTAGCCTTTATTACACTTTCATAGAGAAGCAACCGAGAATGACAAACCATAAACGCATGTCTACTGATTGCTGAGTCACGTTTTAATAATGCTTTTTTTCGGCAGGAGGTACCTGAACCAGAGCCGCGGCAGCAGCGCAGCGAGTCGGCGGGCTCGGTGTCGGCGGCGGTGTCGGCGGCGCCGGCGTGCGGCTGCGGGCTGGCGGCGCGCGTGGCGGCGCTGGAGGCCGACGTGGCCGCGCGCCAGAGGCAACACCACCATTTGGAGGATGAGGTGAGGAGAATAGTAAATAATACAATCTTAATTTGGCACCAGACAAGCGATGGCATTTACAAATATAAAAATGGTACATTAAAGAAAGAAGAAGGCCAGCATAATCCCGAGCCAAAAAGGCGCCCGATCAGCGATACTCGGGACATAAACTACATGTCCCGACTCCCGACGCTGATTTTCAGCGAGTACCCTTCCCTAAGCCTCGGCTGTTACGCCCCAAACCGCGTCCAAACAATAGGGAGAATACGTGTGCGAAAAATAGGGCTATCGATATCTCTTGACTCCTCCGATTACAACTGATGTGTACGATCACGATACTCCGATGACGCTCATAAAACGCGACTATTATGCCCGTTTTCGTTTAAATTAGGTATTGATGGTGAAAACGAGCATTAAAGGCTAAGGGCACTTTCAAATTAAACGTTTTGACCCGGGCGTAGGTCGTGCGTTTACAAGACCACACTTTAACTATTTGTACCTCATGGTAATTTCTGTTCCAATACTTAGTTTGAAACTGTATATTACAGTGTAAAAGTTCAACGCTGTTATAGTTAATAAATGAAGAAATAATATAGATAACTATTGATACATGATAGCTAATCATCATGTTTTTTCTTCAGGTGCGTCGTCTGCGCCGTCACAACGCGCGCCTGCGCGAGGAGTCCGCTCGCGCCGTATGGCAACTGCGCCACTTCACGCAGTGGCTCAAGCGCACCGTTGACCGCCAGTGAGCAACCGTCGCCGACCGCCAGTGAGCTACCGTCGACCGCCAGTGAGTCGCCCACCACACCACCATACACCGCCTACCGACGAAAAAAGAAAGTCCTTATATCAAATCCTTAAAGCCCCGCCACAATCTGGATTTCGGCCAGTGGATTTTTGGAGAACTTAAACCTGTGAACTAATTTAAAAGGATAAATCTGAATTCCTTGCTATAAAGCCTAGCCATGATTTTTGAGAATTTTTGGGGAACTTAAAAACAGAGCTAGAAATTTAAACTTTCTTTAAAAATTCACTTACCGAAAGAGATGTTGACAGCACTAAATAAAATTGAACTTTTCTTGATTTGTGTAGTGCGGGTGTTGCCCCGTCGAATATAATTACAGTAGAACGCCGATTATCCGAATTAATTGGGACCGGGGTCGATTCGGATAATCGAAAATTCGGATAATCGGACATAGACTGGTAACAAAGAAAAAACGTGTTAAAAACCAACCGTCACACATCTATAAACTATATTATTACTGTGTTTACAGTTCTACAATAACGCTCAGTTGAAATATATCGAGACTCCTGCGAGTTTCAACTAGTTACAACAAAAGAAAACAAAAATTACTTGGTCTTAATTTTTTATATTACGTTTAGGACCAATTCGGATAATTGGCGATTCGGTTAATCGGCGTTCGGATAATCGGCGTTCTACTGTACAGTTAATTTTCAGTCTTTTCATTTTTTAACAGAGACTTTCTATAAAAATGTCGACATCTCTAGCGTTCAAAAAAATACAAAATCTAAATATTAAAAAAAATATGTTTAAAATGTAAACCATGGGATAAAAATATAAATTTCCATCCACAAAATTAAGTTATAAGTAAGATTATTTTACAAGGTTAAAATAGTGAATAATTGTATTTATTGGACTCATTACATAACATTATGTAGGTATTAAGCAGTGTTTAAAATCGACGAACAAAGCGTAGCGTTTAGCTAACTGCAGTAGCGTAATAATATGAATTATTATGCGCAGTATCTTATGAATTTTGTGCCTTTTCTGCGCTTTGGGCGACGCCTTTATTTGGCATGTTTTGTACCTAAAGTGTTGGGTACAACATAAAATATTTGTAGTATTTATTACATTTGTTTGTTACTCGCTGTTTTATAATCTAAAATAATATGATGAAATTATATTAATCGTTGCCTTTTCGAGTAAGCATTAGTATACTACAATTTACTTGACTACCCAAATAGATCACTAAAATAAATTAAATAATAATGAGTGAGTCAAAATATACAGGGTGTTAGGTAAATGGGTATATGAGCCGACATTAGCCCATGTTAACATGGTCATATAAATGGTATGGTGAAGTCAGAAATTTGATATCATCATTTTATTTTTTTAAATTTTCATACAAAATAAATTTTACAAAATCCGATTTGTATGAAAATTAAAAAAATTGAAATGAAGATCAATTTTCTGACTTCACCATACCATTTATATGACCATGTTAACATGGGCTAGTGTCGGCTCATATACCCATTTACCTAACACCCTGTATAAAAAGCTTGTTATTATGGTCCATTCGACGTATGAATAACAAGCAGGTCTAAGCATATATTGCACGATGATCACAATGGTTTTACTCTTATAAAATGTAAAATTGACACAAACAAAGCTACAGAAGATATACATTCAAGATCAGAATTCTTATAACATTACGCATTATTATATTTTCTACAAAATCACAGCAAAATTAAAAAAAACTGGTACCTATTACAAAAGTGAAAAATATAAAAAAAATGTTCGGCCAGAAACTAAGTATAATATACCTACCAAGTACAAGTTCAGTACTGTTTTAATTTATTGCCGAAATGCTATATTTAGACGAAAAATAATACAATTCCGTATATTGTAGAATTTGTAATAATGCAAGACAAAACATTTTTAATGTACGATAGTTTTTTGTTTTGGTTTGTGATCTCGAACTAAAAATGGATTAATATTGCCGTACTGGACGTATTCAAAAGTTATTTCGAATTTATGCGAATGACAATTGAGAAAACACTGAGATGTCAATTTATACGTAATGTACCTAACTGAAGATCTACTTCATTTTAAGTATTTTCAAATCACTTAGTGGTAGAAATTATATTGTTATTTTTATATTGTATGATCCGCATCAAAGAAACTAGCGCAAATGAAAACCTATTATAACCTGGTAAACAAATTTTCATAATTTTCCATTGATTTACATCTTTTTACCCTACTGCGCCAGACACCTTTTGGCGGTTATTTATTAAATTCAAATCAGGTCATAATCTCTCAATTTTATTGTTTAAAAAATTTCTACACACTTCGCGTTAGTGTTTAGCTAAACTTAGGAATAAAGACGTATTGTATTTTTTAAATCCGCTAACATAATATTCCAGGGGAATTAAAAAGACGTACAAGTTCATGTTACGAGTATACCCGTGCCCTTGGTCTTGTCTCATATCTCTAGCATTTGATTTGGCTATAAAATGAAAACGGTGCTTCCACACAGAGTAGACATCACAAAACAAAGATTTTTTACCCGCGTAGTTAGTGACCATTATTGTGTTACCTATTTGTGTGGAAAAACCATATTTTAAATTATGTTTTTGTTTAACTGAGTTTCCGAATTAAAGCACGGTGCGAAAGTATTGTTGCTATACAGGATGGCCAGGCAGTTGACGTACAAAGCTAAAATTTAAATTCCTTACATCAAGGTGTACAACTACAAGTGCTCGCCAGAGTGAGATAAAGATTAAGAGTAGGCGCACACCGTTGATTTTTCGTCGGCCGATAGTTTAGTCGGGCAGTTGATCAGTATGGGAGTGCGCACACTACGCCGATTCGATTTGGCCGATTCTTCATACAAATTAAAATCAGGCACAACTATCGGCCAACTAAAAATCAACGGTGTGCGCCTACTCTAAAAAACAACCATAGTTAATAGTTAAGGATAAATCACAAAATTAACTCTATCTCCTAAACTAAGCAAAATCGTAGAACATACCTACATGGGCGTGATTTAAATACACCTTGATGTAAGGAATCTTAACTTTAGCTTTGAACGTCAACTCCTGGCGACCCTGTATAGGATTAGGAACTAAGAACGGGTTTAGTCTAATAGCACTGTATCGTTGATATGATCAGCTGAGGAAGCATCTTCAATAGCTAATTAAAATGAAAGTAATCATTGTAAGGTGAACACCAATTAGATTAGGTAACTTATCACGATCAAATGTGTAGTCAGTTGTGTAAACTATATAATATTGTTCACGTTTATTTATTTATAAATATGTATATATTTACTTTCTGGCAACACGTTTGACGTCGATTAATTCAATCATGAGATAATGATTGTTAATTTAATAATAATATAATATCCTACACTGGTAACTAGCTTGTAAAAATAGAAATAATCAGAATTGAAACCTGCCAAATATTAATACAGTAAGAGTTAAAAAAAATTAGCACAAAGATGATTTTTAAACCAAATCCCATTTATTTAAAATTTTTTGTAGTCTGCTGTGTCGTTAATAAATTATACACACCTCCCTTCCCCATTACTGAGAATTAATTTACTCATAGTTAGAGAAAAAATCAGATAAATACATACAGATAATTTAAATACATACATACATAGGTTAAAACTGTATTTTACTGTAAGACTTTTTTATAGTTTTACTTTACTTCTTTGTATCCTTAATTGAGTTTGTGTGTTTACTAAATACCTACCTATAAAATGTCGGTTCAGGGTCAGGATGAAAAAAAAGCAAGTAAAGGTATTGTTTTTTTGGGCCAGTTTTTAAAATTTTTCGTAACTTTATCTGTTTGAAGAGTTTGTTGTTACCATGTTTTTATAAGAACATTGTAAAATGACTTAAATCTATGAGTTAAGAATCTGGCGATTGAAAAATTGGCCCTTGAGATAGTAATAGTGTTGACTGGATTCTTTTTATAAACCTATTTATTTGTAAATATTTGATTTCGATTATCTAGTTAATCAAATGCAAATTATATTTTAGACAAACCAACTTTTCGTACGAGTCTCGTATTAGATTCATCTTCAAATGAAAGCTTTATTAGTATAGGTTGTTGTAGATGTAATTTTAAGGGAAGTATAATAATGGGATTTTTGTTCTTTAATACGAGGAATTTACATAAGACTTATACTAACATCTTCTGTTTTATTTTTTGTGAATTTTATTGTATCTGTAATCTCTATAACAATGAGCAAACATAACAAATAATTACCTTCATTCCTGTCTTAAATTCTTGAACTAAATACTCTGGTTATTACTTTGTAGTATAATTAAATTACATCCATAACCTTTTATTTTTCTAAAAACACACCTTAGTATTTATTTAAGTACAGAGATTATTTTTATAAGCTCTCCCACCAGTAATTTTGAATTAATTATTAGTTTATTTAGGAATTTAATTTACAATAAAAGACGACGCGACGTAACGTTACAAAAATGATATTTATTTGATGATTGAATGAAATTTAATTCCGCAACATTAATAAAATTAAATTATACTTTAAACTTAGGTATAATAAACACGTAAATTACCAAAATTTCAAACTACTTATTGTTACGAAGCTCACGTCAAGGATTTATGACATAAAATATTCAAGCGAGATATTATATCGTATTGGAATGAAATATCATCATGATATTCTGAAGGTTTTAGTGTGAAGATGTCAATTTTTGTAAGTATTTGCAAGAATATTTGCGTTATTCGACCATTATGATGAAAAAACAAAATGTCAATTTCTGCTGTAATTAAAAATAAGTTACATGATTTAAACAATGTCTAAATTTAAAGCCTATGATTTGGATTTAAATTACTAATTATGCTTTTTTGGCTGTTGCCTATAATTTCTCTACTCTTTAGTCAGTGTTTAAACCTAGGTATTTCATGAGTTTTGTAATAATGTCTTTGGTTATTGTAATATTATTATTATAAAATATCATGAATGTATTCTACCCAAAATTTAGACCAAGTCTTATGGATGTGGTTTCTGAAACCTTATCAGATTGTGTAACAGTGTAGTTTCGTGTTATTTGTTGCATTTTCCTTATACAAATTGTTGTTGTATATTTAAATGAATCAATCGCAATATGTGACACGAAGTTAGCACGGGTTTTTCTACATAAGCATTTAGAAAATGGGCGTTAAAGAGAGCGTATTAATAAGTTCATTTTATTGATAACCAAAGTTAATTAATTAATTACTCGGCACAGTTTTAAGCAGTGGCTTAACAAAAAGGGCTTATCACCGAAAGGTAATTATTTCAGCTGTCTGCTAAATATGACATGGTTTAATAAGTTATTAATACCCATGAAACATTATCATCCTATTATTACGGTATGTATGACACAGAGTGGTATTATTACGAAATGAATATTGTACATCTACGTATTTGTTACGCCACTGTTTTGAATATAAGTAAATGTAATTTTTGACGGTTTTTTTTAATTACTTATATCACAATAAGTTTTGTACATTTATTATAGTGACATTCCAATAAAAGTATTTACCAAATATCGTTTTTTATTACTATTTACTAGATTATTATATATTACATACATAATAAATAATTACAAATACACTGCATCTACAGAATCAATTAAAACATTTGCTACACATGACATTCAATATTTAAGTAGGTATTTCTTCTACACAACAGAGTACACAATCCTAAGACTCGAGACTAGAGCCTCCAGATTAATTATCCAATCAAACCTGTGTTCTAACCAAATCAAGCGAAACAAAAACTTTATCTATTTTACACAAACAAAGCTTTAACTCAATTTTGTAACTTGGGAATCTACTTCTGACTCGTAGTCTTAGGCCCGGTTTCCACCAAGGCGGAGCGGAACGAAGACGAGAAAAGTTGGCTGTGCCGGTAATAGCAGTCTATTGCTATATGATAAGAAAACAACACTTCCGCACAGGCCCCGCTCCGTTCCGCCGCCGCTGTCAAATTCTATAGAAAAATCCGTCCGCTCGACATCTCTTCTCCACTCGATCAATTTCCGCGGATCTTTATCGATCGCGGAGAATTAGAAATAATTAAAGCTGATTGGTACCGGGCCTTACAGTGTTTAATAGTTATTATAATATTATTTATTTTGTTATTATTTTAGATAAACGAGACTCATATAAAGAAAAGCACACTAAGTTTTTAGTAAATTTGATTTTGCAGTACAAATTGGAATAAACCAATTTTGTCTCGCACGTTCTACAGGGCACAATTGGAATAAACCTAGTGGGTGTAATTTTTTTAATCTGATGCTCTGGGTATAAGCCAATTAAGCCTTTCATTATTTTACACTTCAGTTGATTTCAGATTTTCTGTCAAAAAAATAAATAATGGTTTTGATTAATTTATATCATAAGTTATAACATTGTTACCATAAATTTTATTATGTATGAAATAAAATCACCTTATTATTCACAATTACCTAATTATTTATTTACAAGTTCCTACTTACAAAGTTTACGTCAAAACTAGTACTCAAACTGGAAACAACAGACACTATCTCTCTTTATAAAGGCTTCGAATAATGGTACAGCACTGTTTAATTAATTATTTTTTAAGAATAATAGGTACTTAATTGAATACAGGTGATTGCTTGACTGTTAACTCTTTCTATAGCTTCGTAATATTGGGTAAATTATGTCTAGGGCTTCATAAATTTCATTTCTAGTCTTGCCTCCTGAAATAAAATTAAAAAAGTAGAGCAGTTATTTCTAAACTACATTCTAACAAAACAAGATTGTACCTACAATAAGAAATTACTATACAAGGTGGAATTTTGTAAAGCCACCTGGAGGGATAGATAATTTTACTCAAAGAAAACATTCCTTTATTTTTGAAAAGAAATAGAACTGCATGCAAAGGTTTCCAAAAATTTGCTTGCCACACCCGGGAATCGAACCAACTAAAATCTATTAAAAATTACAACCTGTATTTTATTGCATTGATCGTTAGAGTTAAGTTTGAGGATGAAAGGACAATGGGCAAAATGGTACCCGGCTCCAATAGATATGTGTCTAGTATCGTTTGAAAGGTCTTACCAAGATGAACAACTTTTACTATGACCACCAGCCTCAGATCTGGTTGTGTACGAAGATAAACATACTTTTTTGCAGAATGGTACACGGCTCCAATAGTTATGTTTGTAGTGTCATTTGAAAGGTCTTACCAAGACGAACAACATTTACTATGGCCACCAGCCTCAAATCTGGTTGCGTTCGAAGATAAACATACTTTTTGTGTAACCTAAGTACGTATAATACAGTATGGAAGGCAGACGCGCTCGGGGCAGGGCACCGACGAGATGGTCGGATGCGGTGAGGAAAACGGTGGGCGGGACTTTGCATCGTGCGGTCCACACAGCTTATGACTGCAGTCTGTGGAGGAACACTATCTGTGGTCGCGATCCTCATCAGTGAGGGACCGAGGAAGAAGAAGAAGTATCATACGTGTCTATCGTATGGTACTTAGGTTATGCGAGGCAGGAAGGGTTTACTGCTCTAGCATCCTTCCTTAACTCTATAATATGAAACTTTAACCCCCTTATTAATAAAAAGTTACACCTAGGAAGAACCTTGGATTAAAATGACATTTCCATACCAAATGACAATTTAAGCCAGAGTTCAACTAGGGTGTAACTTTTATTAATAAAGGGGTTAAAGTTTTATTACTTCTTAAGGGTTTTATTATGGGTTGCTAAAGCGAATAAACCCACAAGACCCAATAAGTCCACCCACAAGATGGACCGACGACTTCATAAAGGTAGCGGGAAGGCGCTGGATGTAGGCCGCCACCAACCGGCCATTGTGGAAATCATTGGAGGAGGCCTATGTTCAACTGGACGTCCTATGGCTAAAATATTCATGATGATGATGATGAAAGCGAATAAAGGGCTAATAGCTTGGGTAGTTCATCGTAGGTATAATCCTTTCCTTTTCAATGCTTCTTTTAGTTATATTAATAGGTTGTAGTCATAATACATACTCGTATACATGGATGATTATGTTATATTTTCATTATAATACTTAGTGGAATTACTGCTTTCAAAACGTGAATTAGAACTGGCCCCATAGCAGACATTTTCCTACATCTAAAGGCCTTTTAAAATATATATTGATTATGGCTATTGGACCGGGTACCACTTTCCATACATTTGTGCCCATCATCCTTTCTCTAACAAATTTGATAAATCAAATGAAAGGAAAACCATAAAATCTTAAATTATTTACAGAAAATTGTATGGTATAGTGGTGAATTTTCGAAAAAATTTCGAAAACCTTTGAATGCAGTTCTCTTACTTTTAAAAAATAAAGGAATGTTTTCTTTGAGTAACATTTTCTATCTACAGTATTAAGACTTAAGAGTACTTTACCTCCAGGTGGCATTACAAAATTCCACCCTGTATAGTTTTAGACAGCCTGCTAAAACTATACAGGGTGGAATTGCTTAGCTAGTAATGGACTTTTTTTTAAATATCTTATGTAAATTATTTTGTAGGTACATACATGAAAATACCTATATGTACCAACCTGTTAATACAATTTTTCCATTGACAAATATTAACAGTACCACTCGTGGTCGAACCATTCTATAAACTAGGCCCGGAAATAACTCAGGTTCGTATGAAGAAAACTGTCCATGTGCTTGTTGTAGTGCCTCTAATCTTACTGGGAACCGCAAATCAGCTGTTGCAATGAAATTTTGTATTTTGAAATCTAAGAACTTTGCCTGAGAAATAAAGTTAACATTAATTGGAATATACCTGGGTATGTGTTATGATTATTAGTTAGATTTAAATAAAAAAATATGAAAGGAGTTGGTTACATACACTAAATCCAAGCTTTTGAATAATTCTAGCAATTTTCCTGGCCGCTACATAAGAATCATGTTCATTTCTTGCTCCTGTACATACAATTTTGCCTGACCTGCAATAATAGCATAAATAATCTTAATTTAAACACTGTTAAAAGAAGTAAAATATTATTAAAATTAAAAAATATATTTTTTCCTGTTTAATATTAATATGAGAATGTACTTTAGTTAAAAAGGAGCAATAAAACTAACTCTATTTTCAGGGCTAAAATGAAGTTGCAATTATTGAGTTATGGTATGATGTAGGGTTGGTATGGCGGATAGCACCCTAGAGGAGCTATCAAAATCCCTGGTGCTTTAGGAATAGGCACAATAGATTGCTAAAAAGACCAGCCTAATGAATTGATTATGATTAATAATTAAACAGGATAATATAAAATTATTTTTCCTTTTGTGCTAGATGGCAAATAAATAAAATTACCTAAAAACTAAAGCTGTTACTCGAGGTTCAAGAATCCTCATAACAACACCCTGAAACCTCTGTGGATTGTATTCTGAAAATCTTGTTCTACTGTAAATGTCAAGCAATTTCAATTCACAACCGAGATTTACTGTTGAGACACAATTCCTGAAATGAAAAGGTCAAGTATAATCATTTGAAACTTTTGGAAGCAGTTTTTTTTTGCTTTTCATATCAATTTAAATATTATGGTGTAACTTTTTCAGCTATTCTACTTACTGCAATTTAACACTATTTTTAGCTTGACTCGACCCACTAGCCATAGGTGTAATAGCAGTCATAGAACTATGAGGGTTTGTTCCTTGAAGTGCGAAAGAACTGTGAGTGGGTGTCAAAGCAACCTCCCCATTTATACGTTGCTTATCAGCTGTAGAACTCTGAGTGGACTGCACGCTAACACAATCGCTGCGTACACTATGTGTTTTCAAATTGGGGGTGTGCCCCATGTTTTCTTTCGATGTAGGGGTATTCATTTTGATATATTCAGCAAGGAACCAGATGGTTCTTTCTAAGGTTCAGCATCAAATTGTCTTTTATGTAACTAGTGCAAGATAAGTCAGCAAATGGTGCACCAGAATATTTAATTTATTCCGTCGACTCAACGTGTCAATAATTGTATTTTAATTCCACATTGAAATAAAAAATAATCGCGATTGTGTTATTTACACAAGACCACACAAGACGATCTTTTTGACATTGTCATTTGACTTTTTTTTTGTGATGTCGTGGATGTCTCTGATCATCTGTGGGGTCAAAATGCCATCGCAAACCAATGTGAAGTTTTCACTAATGCGTAGATAGCACTAATGTCAGTCGCCGCGTCACCAGTGATTCGATTCGATCGGAAAATGGCAGCCAAAATGCACATTGAACCACCAACGACGCGGCGATATAAAAGTTCNAGATGTCTAACTGGTGTCTGGTGGGGCGCTCATCCGTTCTGTTTAAAGCTTTTATATAATGCCCTTATCAGGAGTATCCTCGATTACGGAACTTTCTTTCTTGAACCCTGCAGTATAGTGGGGCTTCGTAAATTGGATTTGATCCAAAATAAAGCTCTTCGATTAGTAACTGGTGCCATGAAGTCGAGCCCTATTATTGCTCTTCAAGTCGAGTGTGTCGATCCACCTCTTAAGCTACGTCGTCAATACTTAAGTGATAGATTTTTATTCCGAGCATTACAGTTTTCGAATCACCCTCTCCATTCAAAACTTACAGCTCTTTTAGAATATGTAGAATCTTCCTCATACTGGTATCACAAATCTCCTCCGTGTCTAGTAATCAGTTATCGTAAATACATATCTCTGCAAGCTCCTACCCATAGTTCCTCTTATCTGCCAATTTTTTGTAGTAAATATGAAGAGTTAATGTTCTCCCCAGAGATTTATTTTGATTTGGGTGTTTACAAAGATGATCGAAATGCCCTCACAAACTTTAATTTTATGATTGACAGGGATTGGTCTAACTGGCAACACATGTATTGTGATGCATCAAAGCATTCTACCAATAGCCAAGTAGGCGTTGGAGTCTATCATGAGCAATTAAAAATAGTTCAAAAAATCAAATTTCCCCCAGAAACATCTGTATTTACAGCTGAATGTTTCGGCCTTTTCAAATCTCTTGAATACATATTAATNAGTTTAACTTTGACAAACGTCTTAAACCTGTCAAACTCCATACAAAAAACACCGGTTAACGTCATAGTTAGTTACGTTTAAAGTTAGGTGGTGCAACTCACCCTATTGGTTTTCGATCGAATCCAAGCTTATAGTTCCAAAATACTGGACTGTCCTGTCGATGACATTGACAGTGGGGCGCCACCGTCAATACCGGATCGCTGGTTCAGATTTTTGCCATGTTGGAAACCATATAGTTGAACGATCGTAGCGCCCCCCTGTCATTGAGTTTGGCGGGACAGTTCAGCGTGGGTCATCTATATCACCGGGGTTTTAGTAGGTAATCGCAATGAAAATGGCGGGTGTTGCGATTCGATTCGATTTTGATTGAGTCTTAAATGCATGTTGGCTAAGCCTTTGTATGGGAAATTTCAAACCAGTCTTTCGATTATCGANGGAAGTTTCTTCACCCTGCCACACAAGACGATCTTTTTGACATTGTCATATTTGTCATTTGACTTTTTTTTTTGTGATGTCGTGGATGTCTCTGATCATCTGCCCCCTTAGACAAAACGCACTTTTTGATCGAATCGAAAATCGAATCCGTCAAAACTCCATACAAAAAAGGGGCTTTTCGACCACTTTTCGACTGGTTTGCGATTATAATTTGCACTTTGTCTAGACCCACTGATGTGTCTGGTTTTTGGCGTTCTGTTTTTTTTTAACGTCGGGAAATGCCTCTAATCCATATCTGTGGGAAATGCTTTGGCGCGCGGTGCCGAAAATAAAAATTGTAAGAACGCGATGGCAACCGCCGAAAACTTTAGTATGTTTTTATTTGGCCATAACTTCGCCATGTTCGACCATATATACTCAACGTCAAATAAATCGCACCTTCCGCGACGCGAACTTTAAAGATTTTCTTCTGACATAATCATGGTGCCCCAACAATATTGGTGTTATTTGAAAGCCCAATAAATATCCTTAAAGAAAAACACATTTAATTTCTTAATAAATGATTAACATATACCATAAATGTGACTTGAAAAATGACCTCACTTTGGGCTCACTCACCTGTGGGATCAATTAGACCAATTTTTATGGTTATAAAACCAAATAATGACCTCACGTGTCCTCTTTAACAGTTGGATAGCGATTAATCCCAACTTAACAGTTTTATAGCCATAAAAGTTGGCTCAAGCGTAAATACCTATTTTTTGAAGAAGTGACTCTGGATCCTTCTAAAGATACATTTTTGGGGTAAAAGCCTTTCCTTTAATGAAATTAAGCTTAGAACTAGGCTTTCAAATGGTACCAATGTTGGTGGGAAGTGAGGATGCATACTTTTGAAAAGTGCTTGTTGCGGGAGGTGCGATTTATTTGATGCCGAGTGTAGTTGAACGATGGTAGCGCCCCCTTATCATTGAGTTTAGTGGGACAGTTCAGCGTAGGTCATCTTTATGGATTCTCCCTCTACGTATTGTGTCAACTCAACCTCATTTGTGACGTTTGTGACAGACATCCAACCACAGATTATAGAGTATCCAATCCAACCAGTGTTGCCAGAAGGTTACTTTTGTAACCTTTTAGGTTACTTTTGAACTGCATTGGTTACTTTTAGGTTACACTAATGAAAAGGTTACTTTTAGGTGATTTTTCAGAAATTGTAGAATTAACTTTTACAGGTTGTTCAGTAATAGTGACAATTTAAAAATTATATCATAAACTGCATTTAAACATTAATTTGATTTATTATACAAATAATAAATCAAATTAATGTTTAAATGCAGTTTATGATATAATTTTAATTTAATTAAATAAAACTCATTTTTTTAACAATAAAAAAATGAGTTTTATCGAATGTTTTTCGATGATAAAACGCAAATTCATGAAACGTTTTTATACGACCAGTCACGTTTCGGTCTTCATGGAATGGTCAAAATTTAGAATTTAGGTAAACGATCGATGATGAATTGTATTCATTTTCCATCCATGAACAACCTTACACAATCGCTCATCAACCTTTTCATATTTTCTGGTAATTTCGGACAAGACCCGACTGGCAACACTGAATCCAACTGTCTGTCACACAGATATATCTGTGGAAAAAGCGCGGGAAACGTCGGTTTCGGTGGACGTCTTTTTTTTGGAGAAATTATTTTTTCATTAATTTTCTATTTATAGGATCAGATAAGTAGTGCAGTGTAGNGTCTGTCATGTCGGGTCTGTCAAAATTGTGGTCGCAATGTATGGTGTGTGGTCAATTTTGTTGTAAAAATAAATAAAAGATTTGATTACTTGCTCAGTGGTGACTGTAATGAACAATTAAGTTTAGCTAATTACTTGTCTTTAATTGGACATCAACATTATCGGTCTTGTGAATAGTGTAAGGCTTTAACTCAATTATCATCGCTATGAATAAGGACAAAAGGGAACCTGACTATCCTGTTGAATTAGAGTCTCAATTCATCATGAGATTACCCGAAGAACCTGCCAAAGTTTTAAGAAATGTTCTTAGCACTGGTGAAAATTTAAAAAATAGGCTTGCCATTCAAATGGAAAATGATATGAGACATGGTGAAATAAGATTTGATAATTGGCTATTGCATGGCAAAATTGTAGACTTGCCTACAATAGTTGAATCGCACAAAACAATAGACAGGAAGAGTGTTTATAAAACTGCAGATATTTGTCAAATAATGATATGCAAAGATGAACTAGACCCGTCGTCAACTGAAGAAGAGTCACCTACTAAAAACAAAAAAAAGGATCCCTTTAAAGTAGATAAGAAGTTTCTTTGGCCACATGGTATTACACCTCCTACTAAAAATGTTCGCAAAAGACGCTTTAGAAAAACACTAAAAAAGAAGAATATAGAAGCTCCAGAAATAGAAAAGGAAGTTAAAAGGCTTCTAAGAGCGGATAACGAGGCTGTAAGTTTTACATGGGAGATAATCAATGAAGAAGAGGAGAGAGCTGAGAAACATGAGCCACATTTATCTGTCAAACCTGAAAAAACTAAAATCAAGAAGGACCATGGAGTTAAACATGAAATGGAAGCCAATAAATCATCATCCAAAGTTGAGGATATATTTGGAGGGGCATTAAGTGATAGTGATTTGGAAGATGAAAATATAAATGTGGACATTGAAGATAGTCGTCTTTCTGCGTATGATGATCCTCCCTCAGACTCGCTTCACAGTTCTGATTTCAAAGGCTCTAGAGCTGCAACTCAATTTAGCTCTGAAATGTTTTATTCATCAGAAGGGCTGCCGAGCACATCTGAAACCATTTATAAAGGCAGAGAACAATATTCTATTGATGATTTTCTTCAAGGAAATGTTGATAGTAATTTGAGTGTTAAATTACAGCAGCTTAGTACTGAATTGGAAGAACTAAAACAAAGAAGACAACGAACTCAACATGAAATTGCTGGAATGGAAAATATGACCTTACGTCAAAGGTTTTTGGAGATACTACAAACCCTAAATAAGGAAATTATGAATAAAGAAATTGAATATCAAAATTTGCAGTCCTTAAAATAATATTAATACATTTTGATAGCATAATGTAAAATAGTATTTAAAATTAGATTCATTAAAATAAATATAATACTTTGTAACCAATTTTACTGACATAATATTATAATGCTATACAACAATAAAGCTTTTTTATGAATTATGCACTGGTTTATTTACTTTATTCATTCATTTACAGGTCATGCACGAAGGGTTTTGTACAATTTTGTTGTTGTATGGGAGACTCCTTAAATTTTTATTTAATTACTGTGCCAATTTCCCTTAATATCGGCCTCTAACACCCTAATATCCGCCGCCTGTGACCTTAATATCGGCATACCTTTTCTAAAGAAGTATTTAAAGTCAATAAGACCACTAAAGTAAAAAATAATAACGTCAATTATTCAACTCTGGTACAAATCGTTTTTTTAGCTCGTCTATCATTAAGAGTAGGCGCACACCGTTGATTTTTCGTCGGCCGATAGTTTAGTCGGGCAGTTGATCAGTAAGTAAGTATGGGAGTGCGCACACTAGTGTTGCCGAACTATCGATAGTTTTCATTCGAAAAAGCCTTCTCCATCGATAGGCCTATCCATACTATCGATAGCTCAAAACGAGGCAATACTATTGAATATGTGCAATACTATCGATAGTATTGTCGCTTTTAAATAAAAAGCGATAGTATCGATATTATCGATAGTCTTGCGATAGTTTGGCTATCGATAGTCGACTATCGATCGGCAACACTAGCGCACACTACGCCGATTCGATTTAGCCGATTCCTCATACAAATTAAAATCGGGCACAACAGACTGTCGGTCAACTAAAAATCAACGGTGTGCGCCTACTCTTATAATGAAAAAAAAATTGCAGACCATTTTGGTAATTAGTTACAGAACTAAACCCAAAGACATCGCTAATTAATATGCCCCAACTTCCTCCGACTGTAAAAATAAATGTCATACTTCCGGTGATCCTTACTGGATATCACGTAAAAAATTGCTCTAACTAAACAGTTCAGGCGTACTTACAATACCAGTAATACCAAATACTAACTCGTGATTTTAGTTTTACAATAGGATTAAAGTGACTTGTTTGATAATAGCAGTTATTCTCGGTAAATAACGATAATAATAAAAAATAACGCACCACGTTGGGCGCCAGTTAAACTTCAAGTAACATAAACATTTTTTTTAACTTGTTCTTTGACGGTACGAGCCTACGGTATTTTGTCGGCAAGGTCGACAGAAACGGCTATTAACCGACTTCACACGTTGCTCCCAAAACCACTCGTCCAACGTGTGGATCTAGATTTCTAGAACGTTGGTGCACAGTTGGTGGGACATGCTATTTTCTAGGCCAGCGGTTCCCGAATGGTGGTCCGCGGAACCCTAGGGTTCCGTGGAAAGGCCGCAAGGGTTCCGTAAAAAATATTATCCCACGTTTCGTGACCGACGTTGTTCGCGCGCACCGACTTGTTTACGCACAAGGGAGGGGCAGGGCGTGCGGGCGGAGTAGTACGGGGGTTCCGCTAGGAAAAGTATAATCAATTAGGGTTCCTTGGCAAAGAAAAATTTGGAAACCCTGTTCTAGGCATTTCCATCCGTTGGACAGGTGCCGTTGAACCAACGTATGGAGCCGCCCTAAACCACGCCTAAACCATTTCGTGCTACTATCCGTTCGCTAAGTTTGCCGCTGGCGATATGACGTCACTCGAAGGGAAGCGTCTATAACTTTATCAAACTAAGCCTAAATAGGTAGGTAGTTATATTTAAAATATTTTTTATTTATTATTATTGATAAAAATTGTGTATTTGCGTAAAATAAGACACATTAATTGCGTTTAATCACTAACTAATTGTTTAATCGCAGTTGGGGTAGGGGAAGCGCTTTCCTCGGTCCAGCAAACTCAGCGCGAACGGGTACATAGTAAGCGAATGTAACGTGGAAATGAAATGATTCAATTGGCGCTTAACGAACATTAAGTACTTAATCCCTTTCAGAAAAAGCAGCTAACTAGGTACTGGTGCATCGAAATAAAAAAATGTCTTCGTCTGTGAAAATTAAATATAATATGTGAAGTGACTTACGTACGTACGGTTGCTTAGTAACTTAAAATAGAACAACAAAACAAACTCCCGGACCCGGATACAAGTAGAAAAAGATCTTAATTACCTACCTAGGACTTAATTGCAACAGCAAAATTTAGTGCAACCTAGAACAGCATAAAAATGTTGTCTATCCCAGAAATTGCTGCAAGTTTGGTAGAGGAATCACTTACAAATATTAGTGATGATAACTCCTGTTCTATTTGCCTAGTAGGAAGTTCTTCGGCGGTAAGTCCGCATCTAATTATATGGTACAACCACAGAATACATTGTGTACAACCGACATCAAAAATATTTTTATATTTTGCATTAATTGTATAGGTACTTAGGTACCTACTTACCACAGGCCACAGTTCCACCAAGTACCTACCTACCATTTCCGTTTTTTTCTTTCACTCTCATCAACAACCAATAATACCCAAGTTCTTCGCCATATAACGAGATCATGACCGGAAATCGAAACTGGAACTGTATGATGGGCACTTTGGTTGTCTTTCATAAAATTATTAACATTTCTTACAGGGTAAATCCACGTTACTCAATACTTTCTTGGACAGAAATGATACTCCTCGGGAAACTTTAGTGATGGAATATTCCTTCGGAAGAAAGACAAATCAGAAACAAGGAATAGAAAAGACGATATGCCATGTATGGGAATATGGAGGAAAATTAGAAACGTTTAAAAATATCTTGCCATCAATACCAGTTATGGGAAAATTTTTCTATTGTATCATGATCGATTTAGCTAAAATAAAAAGTTTATGGTATACTTTAGAAACTTGCATTGAAGCAATGTTAACGTCTTATGCTGAACAAAAGTCTGCTATAGAACTCCTTATAATTGGTAGTAAATACGACATATTTAAAAATTATGGTAAGTAAGAATAATAATGTAAGTAGGCCTTAGTACCTACTATAGATTCTGTAGAAAGTAAGCCTAAGTAGGTATACATACCTACCTACGTCTCGTACCAAAATACTTACATGACATGTATTGCGGCGGCTCATAGAGAAATCCACAAAACATTGAACTCTACACTTAATTTGCAGATGCCGAAATCAAAAAACTTATATGCACAACATTAAGATCAGTCGCATTACTGTTTAAAGGACACATTGTGTTTTATTCATCAAAAGAGCCTAATCTAGTCAGAAGGGCAAAAGACATACTCCATGGCATAGGGTTTGGAAATGGAGTACCAAACAAGGACAAAATATTTAGTTTTACAAAACCGCTGATGATACCGAAAGGTACCGATTCCTGGGATAATGTTGGTGTGACAGCGTCGACTCTGGAACAAGTAAGTAACAAGTTCCTTAAGTAAAACCTACCACCTCTTGTCTACTAATAAAATTAGAACCTATCCAATCCAATTCTTGTCATAAAATTATGTCTATGCCTATGAAGATAAAAAATATTGTTTTTCCAGGTGAAAGCCCAGCTCCTATCAAGAATCTCTTTCGATACTGAACTGCCACCATTAAGCGAAGGCACAGTGGGAATACAGCAGGCTCACTTAGAGTCATCACTGGATGCTAAAGTTGCGATGAAATTCGAGGAGTTACGAAATCTTGATACCTTGGACATCTCCCTTGGAGATTACTTACTTAATAATTTTCATTAAACAAATGTAGGTAATCTAAATTATTTATTTTAACAATAGCATACAACATAGACTTTGTTTTGACTCGTGTGTGTGTCTTTTTACCTGACTGCGTCAGAAGGATGGTTAAGTTAATATATCTAGGTTGGATAAATTCCTTAAGTACCCAATTAAGAGTAGGTACCTAAGGTATGCAAAGGTATCTTAGGTAGACATAGGTACGAACCTAGGAAGCTGGTTACAAAATAAAAGAAATAAATATTCTATTGAACTACGTACTTTATTTATTTATAAAATAACCTTACGTCTTCCGGATTCTCGAAATCCTTGCGTCTAACGTATGTAGTGCTTGTCTTGAAGCGCTATGCTCGGAATTAATAGCCATACTCACCTGCAAGCAACGACGAGCGAGAGCCATATCACCAGTAGACTGAAATGTACAGAATAGGAAAATGATAATTTGTATGAGATTTCTTTAGATTACACCTACAACCCGGTCGAGTTAACTGCGCACCTCGCTGGAATGCGACTCCACTCACCCGCACAAATCTCCCTTCGTTCACCCCGCGTTCATATTACAGCATCGATTTATAAATGTAGGCAGTGGCGGGGCAAGACCTAAATTTGATGTGGGCAAGACAGATTTCCCGAGGCCTTGTTCTGTGGCGACCTGAAGACGGATTTTATGAAATAATAAAAAAAACGGGTCAATGGTCTATTCATTGACAGTTTCTGATTTCTTGATTCAGTGATTATTTTTAAAGGAATTTTGCGCCAAAGAATAATGTTAGTCACTTAAAACCGTGTTGTTGCTTAATTTTGTGTCTGATTATGGCTGAATTTGTTTGGAAAAAAATAATTTTTAACTACATTGTTTAGCTATCAATAATTTATCCTAATAATATTATAAATGCGAAAGTTTGGATGTCATGACGTCTGGATGTTTGGATGTCTAGATGTTTGTTACTTTTTCACGCAAAAACTACTGAACGGATTTTGTTGAAACTTTACAGTATTACGGTTTATAACCCAGATTAACATATAGGCTATAATTTATGACGATCTGTGACATACCTACTAAATTTCACGCGGGTGAAACCGCGGGCAAAAGCTAGTATTTAATAGTATTTAAAAGTTGAATTTGACATCTGAGCAAAATTTTTGATGCGCGAGGCCCTTTGTTCCGCGAGGCCGTAGGCGGTGGCCCACGTCGCCTACGCCTTACGCCGCCACTGAATGTAGGTATAACGTCACGGCCGCCTGGTGCGCAGATAACACGGATTATATGACTATGCATATAATATAGCAACTCGCTGAAATAATATAGGTACACAGCCAGGAAAATATATTAATAAAGGGTCCATTAGATTTTCCTGGCTGTCTTTGGTATTGGTAGCCTTTACAGAACGTTAAAAATTAACCGCTTAGCGGTTTTGGAGTTGGGAGTGGAGTTCCATCTACGCCATACTTATACTTAAGAGCCTTACCTACTATCATTTTACTCACCAAAGCAACATGTGCCAAGTTAAACCAAATATCAGACTTATTTTCAGGATTTGTGGAGAAGTAGAGAGCTTGTCGAAAGAAGGGCAGTATGAGATCCCATTGGTTGCAGTAAAGGCAACAAAGTCCAAGATTATTGTATATTTCTGACCCTGGTATGTTCGTAGCCAGCAAGCGTCTAAAATAAAATAAATAGGTAACTCAATTTGGGTAAGTATGCAGTTGGAAGTAGGTAGGTATACTTCCCGATGATAAAGCACGTGTCGTAATACATTTCACTTCATTGGATTACGAATGTCAGCGGGGTTCTACAATGTTATAACTTAAAGTAAGTATTGTAGGTACATATGCAAGATTTCTAAGTAGGTATTACCTGTAATAACGCAGAGCTATTTCGGGTTGGTCATTATAAAAATTGTACATAGCAATGTTCGCAATAGCTTCGGTATTAGAGGGATCCTCCAAAGCCACACTTCGATATTCTTTTAAAGCTAATGTCGTGTTCCCCATTTGGTCGTGAATTCTGGCTTGCTCCAGCGTCAGTGGCGTATACTCAGGAAATACAGACAGGCCTTGTTTACATACTTCCAGAGCTGTTAAAGGTTGATTTAAGCTCACATACATTGCTATCAGACGTAGATAAATTGAAATGTGTTTATTTTGCTTAAGTGCATTGCGAAGGCAATCCTCCGTGTTTCGAAACATTCCTAGCACGTAATAGCACCGAGCTAATGAAAAATTCCACCACCAATCAGTGGAGTCATTCTGTTTCTGCGCTTGAAATGCAATATCCATAGCCTGAAATGTAATTAATTAATAATTATAATTAATAATTAAGTATTAAATTTAAAGATGTTGATAAGTATAGTTTAAGTAGGTAAGTAGGTACCTACACTCAATCGCAAATTGTAGGCCTCCTACTATCGTAAGTGCTTACCTTTCGAACATCGCCTTCACAATAATAAACATACTCGAAAAGAGTTTTTGATGCAGGAGAAAACAATTTGTCTTCTTTTGATATTAATCTAAGAGAGAGTGGAGTTCCAGAGGTAAAAGAAGTCCCGCCTGCTAGTGCGGTGGCCGCCCTTGATGCCCTCGATGCAGTGTGCAGGGCGCTTCGAGCACTTCGGGCTCGCCCAGTTTTTGTGTAACCACGAGTCCTAGAAGTTGCTGTTGCACTAGCAGTTTTCTGAAACAAGCGTACCGTTTAAGTAATGTATTTTGAGTTATTCTGCTAGAAGATGGACCTACCTAGTACCTTTCTTTTTCTTTAATAAATGTACATTATGTCTAAAATGTGTTCGCAGTAAGTACCTACTAATAATAACCCAATAATAAATATAGGACTTACGTTAAATTGTTGCGCAGTCTTAGATTCCCTTAAAAACGCTGTACCCACCCTTGGAGTTCTAGCAACTGCGGTGGTAAAGTAATCATCATCTTGTTGCGGGTAATAATCGACTTCTTCGTAACCATTACCAGCAATTTTTGTTTGGATGGTCATAGCACGCATTTGAATAAACTCTATCATTTGATCACTTCTATTTTGAAGTGTAACGTAACATAATTTTATGCATTCGTCGTATTGTTTAGTTCTGAATAAGTTTAATACTTTATATTCAATATCCATTTTGTTAACTATTACTCCGAATGTTTTCCTCACATTACTCTAGTTGTATGCATTTACTTAACGGTTGCTATGGAGTCACCAGTACAAACAAAATTAATATTAAACGAATAGGCGCGAAATCTTATTTAACTGCGACGTAGGTAAGTACTTACATTAACTGTAACCATATCTATGATAAAGGACCGCACTGCGCCTCCCGAGAATTGCCTGCTTGTGTACTAAGTCTTAGTCGTCAAACGTGTTAGTTACCTACCTATTCATTTTTAGGGTTCCGTAGTCCTGACAAGGCTCTAAGACTATACTTCCATTTAGGGATCTGTTTGCAAATTATTAAAGTTTAAAGTGCCAATTTTTGTTCGAGCAGGGCGTCCCCCCCCCTCAAAATAGTCTTACGTAATAAATGAATTAATGGCCACGATACGAAACACAGGAACAAAGATTTAGATGCAACCATTTCACAGAAACAAAATGGCGTCGCGTCGTGCACAAGAAACCGGATATCAGGAGCTGTTCCCATCGAAGCAGCACGCAGCACAGCAAGTCACTAGCGCGTGATGCACACGCGTTGTCCCTTGGTGTAATCAATCTCCAGAATCACCAGCACCAGCAAGCAGACCCAAGAGAGTAGACGGCTCAATTTAGACGGACTTATCTCTATGAAGCGATCTCTTTCGAACTCTCATACTTCGGCACTCACAGCTTCTTTTCGATTTGTGGAAATGTAGAAAACAAAGGTGGATTCTTAAGATAACTAATAATCACCTTCTATTCTATTATATTCTATGCATACGCTTATAAACAACATGCATTAATTTAGATAAATAAATTATAATTTAAATATTATATCGATCGTGCTCGTTCATAACAGAGTAGCTGGATTAAGTCGTCCCCATAAATTTTATTTGCTCGAAGACACAACTTTGTGAAACTAGAAAAAATATATCTATGGAGTATTTTTTATCTTCGCTGTTTAGTGTCAATTAGGATCAGTACTGTTGTAGAAAATTCAATAAAACTAGTATCTACGTTAATCTTTAAGACATAAGAAAGATATATCTTTTTGAATTATCCAAATCGGACCATTACTTACGAAGATATTAAGTAATAAACATAGGCCGTTTTTGCCGCTAAAAGTCAACGTACGCAAGGCCGCGTGACGTCATTATATCCGAATCGAGCGCAGCCGGCGTACTAATGGGATGGAAAATTTTTTTTTCCGGCTAAACTATCAGTTTTAGAAAAAAACTTTTAATAACATTTATTCTTCAAAATAAAGTAACCTATCGACCAGTAATTTTTAAAAATAAAAATTGTGAAAAATAAGTATTGCTATGTCCAAAAACCACATTTTCATAGGATTCGATGCAATGCGGAGACGCGGTTGGGGTGAGTGTAACTTAATGATTGTTTGTATTGAACATAATAATACATAATATGATGCTAATACCCAGTTTCTGGCCTGGGGGGGGTGATCCAATGTCGGAAATCACGAAATAAACACTAACGCGTGGAATCTTAAGTCATTTCCAGGACACCACGTACTACCGCAACCACGCACTACAAAATTATGCACCATTTCTTGTGATTAAACAATGATTATGTCCTGTAAAAAATCTCAAACGAAATTAACTGCATAATAACCAAAATAGTAAACAACCGCCATGATGGGCCGGATTGGGCCGATGTTGCCACATGGTACCGATTTCCCAGGAATTGGGATTGTAATTCCCTGATTCGCCAACACATTAAGCCTAAACGGCCGACAATTTTGTGATTTTTAATTTAACTAGGTAAACGTAGTTCAAATATTTAATTATTTATTTGTTTAACTTCTGTTTTGGTTAGTGAATTGGCTATTTCGAAGAATTTACTAGGAGATTTAAATAAGGAGATAGCAATACTATAGTCCACACTAAGGCCTCAGCCTCGAGTTTAGCGGGCAGCGAGGCGGGAGCGGCGGTGGCGCGGGAGCAGCGGTGGCGCGGGAGCGGCAGGATCTTATGCGTAAAATCAAATAGACCGGTTCTCGAAAACAGCGGCGCGGCAGCGGGGCGGGAGCGGGCCACGAGCGGGCAGCGGCGCTTGAGCGGGCAACGAGCGGGCAGCGCACTCCTTCTTTTGCCCACAATAAATCGAGCGTTAGGAATAAATTTGAACCGAAATAAAATTGTCGCCGTTGTTCAAACATTTCGTTTGCGAATAAAAACAAATATCTCGACAACACAACCCCGAACACAACATTTCGCCGCTAAAGCGCCGCGCGAGCTGCCCGCTTGTTTCGAGAACGGGTCTGCGTTGCCCGCCCCGCTCATAGATGCCCCGCTCCCGCGCCGCCGCCGCTCCCGCCCCGCTGCCCGCTGAACTCGAGGCTGAGGCCTAAAAAGAGAGGTCGGCCCACAGAGAGCGAGATAGAGATAAGTAGGTATTTGACTCAAGTTTTTGTTCCAAGTGTGGCCTCCATTTTTATCTTTAGCTTCATGGTGGTGTCAACGTTGTCTTGTCATTTGTCATCATGTCAATTGTCATGTGTCATTATGTCATTATTGAATTTTCAACAATTGCTGATGCTGAATGTGCACATCCAAAAGTAGAAATATTAAATAATTATTTAGAAATGATAGTTTGATCGCTACATTTATTTTCTGTAGCTGTTAATTCGAAGATGTCATGGAGGACGAAACTACCTCTTGTAAGAAAACGCCCACTTGGCAGAACTGTATACATTGCCCAAGTCTGGTATTCGGTAGTGCCACGGAGTTCGAAAGGTTTGTTCTGTTTGGTACAGTGTAGCTTTTAAATAATGTCTAGCATTATTAGATTATACAAACTACAACTAGTATTACTTTCAGGCATATTCAAGATAAACACACAGTCAAAGAAGGATCCATTATTCTGTGCCAATATGGTCAGAATGGTATTTGTTCAGCTTTGCAATTTGGTGACTTGAGAAAAGCAGGATTCAAGTATCACGTGAGGGAATATCACTTGTATTCTAAAAGCACTTCTGAAGATTGGACATTCTATTCATCATCACAGAACCTTCCGGCAGTATTGAATGATCCTAATAGAGGTAAACAAAGTAATTTTTTTACTAAAACATGGGGTGACAATTTTGTTGATAAAGTAGAACTTTCTCCTAGTCCTTATTTGCCTGAAATTACTTTATCACATTTTGAACCATATTGCAAAAGAATAACTAGAAGATTACGAAGACATTGTAGACTAAAAGAAAATTTACCTGCTAAAACAAAGTTGCCAGTAGTTGAGGCTTTGTGTGAAGTTCCTGGTGTATTTTTTGAGCAGTCCTTGCCACTGAATGACCCCAACATTTTCTATAAAGTCTTTCCTAGCCTAAAGGACTCAGAAGATTCAAGTGTTGCAATCAGATCTCTGCAAGAAACATTGAGTACATACCTTGATGTTATAGAAATGAAAATTTCTAAGCAAGTTGCACAAAAGTCTGATGCATTCTTTCACGCTATGCTATCCCATGATACTATTATGGAACAAATGGCAAGAGCTGCAAAAACAGTGCAGGTAACACGACAAAATATTAAAAACGTTAAAGAAAACTTGACACTTTGTCCTTTAAAATTAATAAGCTTAACAAGGATCAATCACAATCTTGGTAATGTCCGTGAATTATTAAAGTTAATGAGTACAGTTCAACAAACCCAACCAATGATTCAATTACTTCTAAGTACTTCAGATTATGTGGCTGCCTTAGATTTGATCAGTTCCACCCAAAGAGTGCTGTCTAATCAGTTGTCTGGGGTGCAAGCATTTCGACATCTATCCCCACAATTGACTGAAATGAAGAGATTGATTCACAAAATGCTTAGCAATGAATTTCAAAGATACATAGTAGCAGATTTAAATAGGAATCAACAAGAACATGATTTGCCAGACAGAGACAAAATAGTGTCGATTATATCAGGCATTTTACGCTTAAAAGAGTTCGATTTCATTGATACTTTTAAGCTTGAAGCAATTACATCTATACAGGCCACCGTAAAACAATGTGTTATTGAAATAATTTCTGTAAGAGATGGCAATACCGAAATAGTTCTTCGTGGTTCAAATGCTGATAACACACATTTGTTGTGTAATGAAGGAATTACATTCCTTGAGAAGGCATCTCCAAAATTAATAAAATTGTTCAAAAGAATTTTATCCTTGAATAATTTGATATTAGAAATAAGTCAAATGGATGATGTAACTGGTAGTGAAAGTGAAGAAGCTTGGACAGCTGAAGAATTACTATTGGTAGAGGAAAAACTAAAGAAGTTAATAGTATCTCTATCTGATTATTGTAATGAACGCTGTGCTAATTTGATTGTCACTAAAAGTGATAAAGACTATGCCTTCTCTGATTTATCACAATTATCAAAAATATCAGAACTAATTGACAATTTTTCAAATGAGTGTGAAAAAATTACTGGTCATTACAGTAATGCAATGAGGCTTGCACTAAGAAGCTTTGCTATGAAATATATACAAATCCTACATACTGATAGGAGATCTCAGCTCACCTCAACTCTTAATGCTGAAAGGTGGAAATCTGCTGAAGTTCCCTGTGAATTACAAAATATAATTGATAAAATATGTGAAAATTCTGAAATTCCTTCAACACTTCTGTATCAAAGTGGTAAACCTGATGGAAAATATTTAATAATTAATAATGAAAGTTATGCAGTTGTTGGTACTGTGCAACTACTAATAAAAATCTTACTGGAATATTGTGAAGCAACCAAGCAATCCCCAGTTATAGTCCAGTACATAATTCACTGTATGATAGAACTAATACGACTATTTAACTCGCGCTGTTGCCAGTTAGTACTGGGTGCTGGAGCAATCCAAAGTGCAGGATTAAAAACAATATCAACATCGAATTTAGCTTTAGTATCTCGATCACTCCAAGTCATTTTATGGCTTTTACCTCTTATAAAAAAGCTTCTCGAAAATCTTCATTCTGCAGAACTATCACTTCATCTAACTGGATTTAGTAACATGGAAAGTGATATTGTTAGTCATAAGAATGAAATAGAAAGTAAGATTTGCCTCATAGTAAGTAACATGTTAAGCTCACAGTTGTCTGGATGGGACGCAAAGCCACCTGTACCTTCACAAACATTCCGTAACATTTCCAAACATCTAGTTAAATTGCATGAAGCATTAATTGATATATTACCAATTGAGCAAATAAGGACCATATATAAAAGAGTACATGAAAACTTTAAAGACAAATTAAGAGAACAACTGATTAAGATGAACATAGTCGCTAATGGAAGTCCACAACATGGAGTTGTAACTTCAGAATTAACTTTTTATTTACAAACCCTCAAGACGCTACGAGTAATAAACGAAAGTGATGCAGAAGATAATATATTGTATGATATTTGGTTAAATTAATTAAACTAAAAATATTTGTATGTATGTATCTATTAATATTATTATGATAATTATTATCCAGTGTAAAATTGTTAATCATTCTGTATCTAAATGTACAATGTTCTTAGAAAATATTTTGATAAATGAAATATCCTGTATTGTGTATTATTAATTTGTATAATTATTTAAGAAAAATCTAAAATCTTGGTGATTATGGGAATAAACAACTTATAAATTATTGACCTAAACTTAGTTCAATTCTAATTATCTTTCTTAAATAAAATCTTTCTTAAAAACTTTATATGTAGGTATGTAGAGGTAAATTTTTAAATCTCAAAAAAATATTAATTAATAACAGCTTCTATGAGAAAGAAGAGGTAGGTTATCTAATGTTTTTGAGTAGTGGAAATATCCTGCAGTAGCAAGTTAATAATTTAAAAACCGGCCAAGTGCGAGTCGGGCTCGCACACCGAGGGTTCCGCCGTACAAACGTAGCGGTTTACAATTTATGACGTATTAAATCAAATTACTTACTTGATTCCGTTGCGAGTAGTGGCGAATTTCAAAATATGCGGTATGATTATTTTTTATTTATTTATTTTTCCTATATTTGCATTATAGGTAGGTACCTACCTCAGCGTTTTGAATTTTTGCGTTGATTTAGAATTTCTCACAGTTTAGAGGCAATTAGATTTAAGAAGTGTTTGATATGAATTTCAACTTTAATATCTCTACGCGTTCATGTGAAAAAGGGTAGGTAGTAAGTTTATAATTATTAAAAAAATATTTTATGTCATGTAAGCAAAAATAATATTTTAAATTTTATATAACTTCAAATTTATCATTTTCGCAATTTTTCCTTTATCTGTACTATATAACGTTGCTTCGTGCCGAATTTCAAGATTCTGAGTTCACAGGAAGTACCTTGTAGGTTTTGATTCCCTAGCGTGTGACGGAAATTCGTCTAAGGTGTCGGTATAAACTGCTGTATCTTTTGATCGCGTTAACTTAGAAGTTTGATTTTTTTACTTCTTAAAGGGACAATAGATCTAGGTATTTGGTATAAATTTCAATTTGATACCTTTATTCTTTCGTAAGAAATAAGGTAGTAAGTAAGTTTCATTTTATTAAAATATTTTTATTATATTATATAACTAAAAAAATGAAATTTTCGCAATTTTTCCTATATTTGCATTATATGACAATGCTTTATGCCAAATTTCAAGATTCTGAGTTTACGGGAAGTATCCTGTAGGTTTTGATTCCTTTGCGAGTGTCGAAAATTTGTTGAAAATATCGACATAATCGGCTGTATCTTTTGATTGGCTTGGCTTAGAAGTTTGATATTTTCACAGCTTAAAGGGAAAATAGACCTGAGTGTTTCATGTGAATTTCAGCTTGATACGTTCACGCGTTCTTGAGATAAAGGGTCTTGACAGACGGACGGACGGACAACAAAGTGATCCTATAAGGGTTCCGTTTTTTCCTTATGAGGTACGGAACCCTAAAAAAAAACCCGAATACCGGGTAATTATTATTGACGGGATATTCTGTGAGTGACCATGAAAGCTACTTGATAAAAAAGGTTGATTCTACTGCTTAATACATTTGAGATGAGACAACTTTTCTCCCAAAAGACTGAAATAAAATTACCTTTCCATACAAATTATTGAGTATTAATAATTTTATCATCAGCAGTCAATAGTCATCTGTATGGGGATGTTAATTTTTTTGGGAATTTGATGTAGGTCTTGTTGTAGGGAAAGTAGTTTCGCAATTGGACAGTAGAATCAACTCTTTTTGTTTGATTGAGTATAAAAAACAACCTGTATCATTTTCAATAATAACTCGGAATTTTGTCAATAATTCTTTATTCCTTAGTACTGTACTATAAAAACATAACAATATCTCAAAAAGAGTAACGATTTCTATCTGCCTGGCGACGATAGGGTGCAGTCAGCAGGCTTTTACGCTTGAAGGAAGTGGCCGTCGCGGATCTTCCGCCTGTACAAGTCATTGCATTGCATAAAATATAAATGACTAAAACGGGCACACTACATGATGACTGGTCGCTCCGATTTATAAGCTCTAACTTGCTTTGCGGAAGATCCGCGACGACCATTTCCATCAAGTGTAACAAACGCCTAAGGCCCGGTTTTTTGATTCGTAGTTAAAATAACCAATGGTCAAATTTGACAGATGTCAAATGACAAGTGGTTAAATATCAGAAAAAAATGTTTTTCGAACAATGGTTAGCTCGACTTTTAATACATTTTTTAACTATTACTTAACATTTTGTTAATATTTAACCATTAGTAGCAAAATTTAACAATTTGTTATTTTAACTATGAATCAAAAAACTGGGCCTAGTGAAGCGCGCCAAACCAAAAATGTTTTACGTTACAGGAATTTGCTTCGATTTGGCGCGTTTCTGTATTACGATGTACTAAGATGGTTAACTAACAATAAATTTTAATAAACATACCTAGTACATATTTGGAAGCAAAAAAATGCTACTACAATGTGCCCTAATACGTCGTATCCTTTGGTACATCCAATTAATGAATAAGGTCAGTGGATTCTGTGGAACTAAAAGTCACTGGCCTTCATGTTTATGAATCATAGAAATAGGAAGCCAATGGATATCTTATTATAAACGCTATACAACTACATAAACACTGAAATGCCATTATCATAGTGACTAACTTTACTTCAGACATTGAACCGAACTTAATTAAAAATAAATTAATTAACGTCAGATTGTTCATGACTATACTATCATTATCTTCTATCACATCTACTAGATGAAGTATTCTTAGTATTTGTACTATTGTTTTAGTAATAAAGTTTAAATCTTTTTTTATAATTACAGTTCTACTTGCTTGTAATAAGTCAGTTTCAGCACTATATTTTGGTAACCTATGTCTTGGACATGGAACAAAATGAAATAATTGAGGAACTGAATAAAGAAAATTAATAATTTGTGGTAAAAAGAATAATAAGACTGTTTTACTAAAGTGGCTTAATATTCCTACTACAGCAAAAGTCATACCAGAAACATAGCAAAATGTATCACCTACGAAAACTTTTGAAGGGTACCTGAAAAAAAAAATTAAACATTTTAAAGTCATACCTATAAAATTTTTCATTCAATTTCATACAAGTAATTAAGTACCTACTAATGCAATACAACTTTTATGCTTATTGTGCATATGTCTCTAATGGTTTCTTAAGGGGCACAATGTCGCATCATAGTTTCTTAAAAGTATTTAAGCCTGTCCCAGATTTACAAAAATTTTCATCATCAGGTCATAAGCCATTTATAGTTTCTTTCTACTGCAGGAGCATGACACTCTTCAATTTACCATAAGCAAATGAAATATTTGGTCTAAAAATATACATATCAGGAAAATTGCAAGTATGTAATTGTGTCTGAAACTTAAGCCTGCATCATCCATTTTTTTTTTGGATTAGTGGTTATGTTATTATAGTAAAATTTTGTTTAAAATGGGCATAAATTTGGTTTGGTTCTTCTTACCAGTTGTGCTTCAATAATGCTGAAGCTGTGGCTAAATAAGGCAGCATAATGCGCAAAGAGAACATGTGGGCTTTGTATTGATCACCTCTCAACTCTATTATATCAAACACAATGATAGAGATTGCAATTATCACCGACTGGCCTACTTCTAGACCATTGATTCCAGCCAATATGTTTATAGCATTTGTACAAAAAACTGCTAGCATTCCCATGTATATGTAATAAAAACATCCTGAAAACAATAATACCAGGCTTAGTGTGACATGTAGGTGGCTTACTCATAAGATAGATGATGAGCAAAATTTAAATAAATTTTTATTCTATTCAGTGCAATGAAAAAGGTAAAAACATTTATTTACCAATATTAATGGATACACCGAACCATTCTCGAAGTGGTATTGGTAATATAAATGTGGTAGAATTGAAGTTCACATAGTACACCACTAGTAATGGTAATGATGCTACTGTTGGGAGCAGTAACTTGTACCTCCATCGTAAATCCAATACATCATCAGCAAATCCCAGAAGTAGCATACAACATATGGACAAAAGTGCTGCTAAAACTTCTGCAAACTATAAAAAGAATTAAACTTGAATTACTAGGGGTGCTGCAATAGGTCAATAGCACTGTGTGATTTTGTTGTCTTACCTCATTGTGTGGAAAAGATTCTCGATCCATGAGACTGTTTCCAAACACTATTGGTATGAAAGTAAAACTTGTAACTAGGAAAATGCATCCTGATACCACACCAAGAGCCTCTGGTCTGAAAACAGCATTAAAAATGTTCCAAACTAACAATAATATCTTGAAACTACAACGAAAGATGTATGTAGTTAGGAAGAGTATACCTACATTTTGTTTTTATTATTTTTACATAGATCTATTCCGTATAAACCAGCGTTTATAAATAAATTCTTCAGATTAAGAATTAACCCATCCGTAACGAAATATGCAATTAATGATAAAATTATCACTATAATTAGAGACCACATGATAACCAACCACTTCGGGCCACGTACGAAAAATTTAACTTTATAATGGTAATGATTATATCTTTAATATTACCATAACATGACAACTATGGCACATGCCTTTAAAATTGTAACAAATAACTACAAACGAAAATACAATTCAACCGGTGAACTCCATTTCAATAAAATATATAAACAACAAACTGTTCGGCTGTTTCTGATGACTGACATTAATGACGGACGACTGACACGTGAGTCACGTGACCGAGACCGGTTTGGTTCTTCTTACCAGTTGTGCTTCAATAATGCTGAAGCTGTGGCTAAATAAGGCAGCATAATGCGCAAAGAGAACATGTGGGCTTTGTATTGATCACCTCTCAACTCTATTATATCAAACACAATGATAGAGATTGCAATTATCACCGACTGGCCTACTTCTAGACCATTGATTCCAGCCAATATGTTTATAGCATTTGTACAAAAAACTGCTAGCATTCCCATGTATATGTAATAAAAACATCCTGAAAACAATAATACCAGGCTTAGTGTGACATGTAGGTGGCTTACTCATAAGATAGATGATGAGCAAAATTTAAATAAATTTTTATTCTATTCCGTGCAATGAAAAAGGTAAAAACATTTATTTACCAATATTAATGGATACACCGAACCATTCTCGAAGTGGTATTGGTAATATAAATGTGGTAGAATTGAAGTTCACATAGTACACCACTAGTAATGGTAATGATGCTACTGTTGGGAGCAGTAACTTGTACCTCCATCGTAAATCCAATACATCATCAGCAAATCCCAGAAGTAGCATACAACATATGGACAAAAGTGCTGCTAAAACTTCTGCAAACTATAAAAAGAATTAAACTTGAATTACTAGGGGTGCTGCAATAGGTCAATAGCACTGTGTGATTTTGTTGTCTTACCTCATTGTGTGGAAAAGATTCTCGATCCATGAGACTGTTTCCAAACACTATTGGTATGAAAGTAAAACTTGTAACTAGGAAAATGCATCCTGATACCACACCAAGAGCCTCTGGTCTGAAAACAGCATTAAAAATGTTCCAAACTAACAATAATATCTTGAAACTACAACGAAAGATGTATGTAGTTAGGAAGAGTATACCTACATTTTGTTTTTATTATTTTTACATAGATCTATTCCGTATAAACCAGCGTTTATAAATAAATTCTTCAGATTAAGAATTAACCCATCCGTAACGAAATATGCAATTAATGATAAAATTATCACTATAATTAGAGACCACATGATAACCAACCACTTCGGGCCACGTACGAAAAATTTAACTTTATAATGGTAATGATTATATCTTTAATATTACCATAACATGACAACTATGGCACATGCCTTTAAAATTGTAACAAATAACTACAAACGAAAATACAATTCAACCGGTGAACTCCATTTCAATAAAATATATAAACAACAAACTGTTCGGCTGTTTCTGATGACTGACATTAATGACGGACGACTGACACGTGAGTCACGTGACCGAGACCGGCCCCCCCATAGATATAGATGATGTAGATGACCCCACAGATGAGACTGAACTGTCCCACCACCTAACTCAATGACAGGGGGGCGCTACCATCGTTCAACTATATGGTTTCCATCATGGCAAAAATCGGAACCAGCGATCCGGTATTGACGGTGGCGCCCCGCTATCAATGTCATGGATAGGACCACAGATATGGATAGATGCAGCATGTGAAAAAAATTGTATGAAGCCGAGCGTGCCACTTTTTAAACGTCATTAGTGTCATTTTAGCGAATTTTAGTGATTGCCGCAACGTAAAAATAATCGAATCATCGTACTGCATTCGCAGTCATCGAAAGATATCGTGTGACTCGATTCGACAATTAAATAATTCCGATAAAACTGATATTTTGTTAAATTTATAGCTATATCTGACTGTGGATTAAAATAATTTTGTAGCGGTAAACGTTATTCTACATTATTAATTTTCATATTAATTTGTAAATAATATTTTTGTTGTGCTTAATGTTTATGAAAGTAATGATCGTTATTCCATTATGTTAAATAGTACTAACTAGTAATTCATACTTAATTCCATACTTTTAAAAAACCTAGTTTCACAAAATAAAGATTAACTCAAGCTTTTTATTATTAATAAAAAATGTACAAATCGTCGGCTGATTGCAAGAAGTCATTAACTACAAAAAGTCATTAAGTGTCCATACTAGCATGGCGATATTGGCCGCGACTTATACTATATTATGCAAGAATCAGTAAATGGATATCTGCCGTACTTTGGAAGATTTATTTTTGTAAAACTTGATAAATACAGTTTCGTCAATTTTTATAGCATTAAAGTAATTATTGTCCATTAATGATTTTGTGTCGTAACATAGTCGATACACACACTGTTTTGACTAACTGCCAGAACTTAATAAAGATTTATAATGCGCCTATCCTTGTTCATCCCAGCCGTTCCTTAACTGCGTTTGCTGCACCTCTTCTTAATCTTGCCAACAGAGACAGTGCAGTGTGGATGACATAGAAAAGACAACACATGAGATGTTTTCTTCATGAACATTTTCTACACGGTAGTGTCTGAGGGAGGATTATTTTGTGCTCGTGTATACCGTATTTTTATCTAGCAATTAGCATCGGTTATGTAAGAATTCGTAGCTACTGATTTACAAAATTATATCATCTGTAGTTGCGAAAATTTTCATGAAGAAAACATCTCGTGTGTTGTCTTTTCTATGTCATCCACACTGTACTGTTTCTGAAATTTTTTGTTTAGAATGTGACCCAGAAGATGACAGGTCATAATACATATTTCGTTATTATGATTGTTTATTATATTATTTTAAACGTAATTTAACTTGATTTAACATGTATCACGGTAATCCGATAAAGTAAAAAGTAATTACTTCTTGGTTTGTTATAGTTGGCCGTCAGTCAAAAGACATTAACTTCATATTTTGATTTTTTAAAAATACTGTGTACGTTATTTTGAAATGCCAGTAACTAAAAATTTTTACTAAGACTTATTTTTATGTATCGGCATTTTCATTGCGGCGCTACCTATTATATATTTTTTTTAAATGGCTTTTTTCTCTCCAAACTTCATTAAGCTATTTCTCGAAATCATGTTTCTGCTAGTTAATGACTTCTTGCAATCAGCCGACGAAATGCGTAGTTTTGCCAATACGTTTTGTTTCATAAAGCTAAGTCAGGTACCTAGTTTTGAAGATAATATTTCTAAAACGACAAAATCCAGTGTAGTAAAAAACGTTCGACGTAAAATGAAATACAATAGATTTTTCTTCATAATTATATGCTTTAGACGAGCCCTATAAAAATAATCAAAACAAATCAAAAGGTTTGAATAAAATTGTTCTTCCGCCGTCATTTATAAAAAAGGTAAGTAATTGCAAAATTATAGAACTTCCTTAGGCAGATGCCTCTCTACTCTGTCTATTTGAAAAAGTCTGGCACTGGGTTATTCCGGGGGCCCGATAAAGAACCAAAAACATCTTTACTTACCTTTCTAAATAAATTAATTCTTACAAATAGTCAAATCTCATTATTTTTCTTGTCAAGTGCATGAATACACGGATCAGTGTGTGTCTTATTGTTATGAGTAAGTACGGTTCCTTGGGATCGGTATGAGTACACCACATACAGGGACCATAGTTTTAAGAGTATATCGCAGGATATGTATTATAAACAATGCTACTTTATACTTCTTCTACTGCTACTTTATTCTAATTAATTGTTTGTTACTTGTGCTGTTAATTACAATTCTCAATCCGTTATTAATTTCTTCTTTCTACCGTGTTTGTACTACTGTACTCGTAAAATCATCGTAACCGATTGTTGTAATCGGATTACAATTAACAACGTGTACATCACTCGACCATGTATGTCCATTTAGACATATCGGAATGGCACGCTTTGACGACCAACTTGCTGTATCTACTCTAATCCATATCTGTGGATAGGACAGGGCCCCGATTACGGTATAGTTCCAAAATACTGAACTGAGCCCCGATTACGGTAATTTTTAACGTCAACAATCCAGACACGCTTCTCGATTCTGCGATACGATTGGTCGTTCAACAGCGTACGTCAGCTGTTTTGACCAATCGTATCGCAGAATCGAGAAGCGTGTCTGGATTGGAAACGTTAAAAGTTACCGTAATCGGGACTCTGTCCTGTGCATGACATTGACAGTGGGGCGCCACCGTCAATACCGAATCGCTAGTTCCGATTTTTACCATGTTGGAAACCATATAGTTGAACGATGGTAGCGATCCCCTGTCATTGAGTTTGGCGGGACAGTTCAGCGTGGGTCATATAATATTTAACGTCTACAATCCAGTGGGTCTAGACAAAGTGCAAATTATAATCGCAAACCAGTCGAAAAGTGGTCGAAAAGCCCCTTTTTTGTATGGAGTTTTGACGGATTCGATTTTCGATTCGATCAAAAAGTGCGTTTTGTCTAAGGGGGCAGACACGCTTCTTCGATTCTGCGATGCGATTGGTCAAAACAGTCAGCTGTCAGTCAACGTCAGCTGTTTTGACCAATCGTATCGCAGAATCGAAGAAGCGTGTCTGGATTGTAGACGTTAAATATTACCGTAATCGGGGCTCTGTTCAGCGCTCTGAGCNTTACGATTAAATTTGATATACCTACCTATTAGAGTGTGAAAGGAAAGAGAAAGAGTTTGTGTGTGTGTGTGTGTGTGTGTTAGAGTGTGTGTGTGTGTGTGTGTGTGTGTGTGTGTCTCTTTATGTGGTATACAAAAGGGAATATGAAAATTTTGATGATAAACCATATTAGAATGCAAGAAGCTTTTGCAAATTTAAGAATAATTGTTTTGCGTCGTTGTCGAATGTGCATGCAGGTCAGCGGCGGACATTTTGAACATTAACNTGGTGCCATATGTTTTTATGCAGCTACCATTAGCAGCACTGAGATCCCAGTCGGATGGCCTTCTCTGGTCGCGTAGCCAACGGTAAGGGTAGCAGCATAAATCAGATCCCGTGTCAACAAGAAATTGGTGTTTGGTAGTCTTGTCCGTGACAAAAAGGCGGCGACCATGAGGATCAATCGAGCAGCAATCAGTACCCGCCATTACTGATTGCTGGTTGCGTTTTCCGCTGCCCAATTGCACGGAGCGGTGCATTTTGAAGCTTTCTGTCTAAAAGTCCTGTGATACCAACAGTATTTAGGTGTGTTTGCTCTTGAATTCTCTTCTCGTCTTCGGTTTCTGGAAGTGGAACGGGATCGTGAGGTGTCACGTTGTTGCACCGTTAATGCTGCAACTTGTTTTGTCAAGTTTTCCACGCATTCCACGAGTGAGCTTAAAAGTGTTGGTGCACTATTGACTGCGAAGACGTTAGCAGGTCCAGGAGTGACTTCTGTAATTCTATCGGCCAGATCTGCCAATTTGTCCAAGCTAAGATCGGCCTGTGCTGCTAGAATTGCTTGTACCTGGTTGGGCAGTCGACGAAGCCATAATTGTCGTAAAAGCCCTTCGTCTTTGAGGGTTGATCCAGCAAGAGATTTTAAGTGTCGTAAAAATGTCGAGGGCTTCCTATCTCCCAGTTCCTCGTCACTGAGAAGGCGTCGCACACGTTGTTCCTCTGATGTTGAAAGACGCCGTATTAGCTCTTCTTTAAGCTTCAGGTATTTGTTTTCTTCCGGAGGGTTCATGACAATATCTTCAATTTCACCTATTACTCTTTGATCGATAGCCCCAATAACGTGGCTAAATTTAGTCATATCTGTAGTAATGCCGGCAAGATGGAACTGAGCTTCGACTTGCGCGAACCATATAGTTGGTCTATCAGTCCAAAACGGCGGAAGTTTAACCGATACTCTGCAGACTTGGTCATTTGAACTTTCCTGTTTAGGTTCTAGCCGTGCTTTTTGAAGATCCGACTGTAAAATTGCATTTTTAGCTCTTAGCTCTTCTAGCTCTGCTTGAAGCTCAGCATTAGCCATGGTTGGTGTATTAACAAATGCACGGCAACAGAAAAGGAGAATCTAAAAATAATTAAAATTAATTAGTGAAAGTATCCTTCTCCGCAGGTTAGAGGTACATAACTAACAATTATAAGGAAGATGCAATTATCTCAAGCAGATTACAGTTAATATACAGTGAGTAGAGATGTTCATAAACTATAGCAAATAAATAAAATTAAATTGTATTGTAAGTTTCATAAAAGTTATTAGTTTTGTTTTAAATCAATAGTTACACGATATGTCAAGGAGCAGTGCAATACAAACAGATGTAAAACATTCAAATACACACACACAATGGTCATAAATAATTAGCAGGCACATCCAATATAAGAAGTATGGCAGCAGGGTTTTGTGCAAATACTAATTTTTAGTTGATAATGCAGTTTAGTATTAGAAATAATTAAAGTACCAATTTTATGAATTTTATGAAATAGCAAGAGTTAAGAAATATAAGTATTTGACTGTGCTTCAGGACT